GATAGAAAGCTGAAATTTTATATCTACATATGTAGATCTTTACTAGAAACTTACTTCCGTAGAAAAAAATTTTTACCTATCTCCCCCCCTCTAAAAGTTATATCACCCCAAAACCCTTAAAATACCATTATTCCACTATTTATCATAGTAGAACCATATGCATTTTTCAAATTTTGCAAACGCAGAAACGCAGTGAGTTCTTCTATCGCGACGTACTATATTTAAACTTTAAAAAAACAAAATGGCCGTTCAAATTTACTGTTATCTAAAATCCATTTTTTCCAAATTTTTGATGCCGTTTTTCTCCTAAACCCCATGTTGTACAAGTCTGAAATTTTAACAGCTTTTAGACATTTATAAGTTTATTTCGTTAGTACCCCTCTCAAGTTATCGCATCTCAAAATTTGTAAAATTTTAATATTTCGCACCTTATATTTGCGAAACCGCAAGCTTTTTAAAATTTCCATAAACGCGGAAAGATAACGGCAAATTCCATGTCATTAAAAAATATAATTATTTTTTCGTAACTCACACAACTAATCCTTAAAATCGAGCATTATGTTAACCCCCTTTATATTAACTTTTGTTTTATTTAAAAGATTGCATAAATCGTTCATCCTAAATATATGCAATCCTAGAAATAGTTTCGTATATGAATAAAAATAATTTTAATAGTGTGTTAGGTGCACATAAATTGTTTTTTAAAGTAGTATTTTCACTTGCTGAAGCGAAAAGTTCTATACCTACAATAAAAACCATTGGTTTGACCCAACTTTATTTTCATGAAAAAAGTAAAGCAGAACGAAAAATATACTTCGTACTTGCAGATTACATTATTCAATTACATGACAACCACTGATTTTACTTGAAAATTAAATTATTCAACTACATGACAACTTATTTTTTCTCACCCAATAACTAACTGAGATTTGGAACAAGGTACTAAAATAATAGTTTCAGAAGCAAATTTACAATTATTACAAGATCCTTAATTATATTTTTCCCTACGGAAAAATATATTTTGAGAATTATGATAGTCGTACCCTATAATTATGTACGTATACGATTATAACTTGCATCAAATAAATTTTTAACAAAATGGATTTCACTTACCTGTGATGTGACAAATTTATGTGTGTATGGAAAAAAATTTTTCCTATTACAATGCATATACGATTTATTATGTCGCGAATGACATTTCAAATGTCACTTCATGTAAATTATTATAATGGTTGTGAAATTTTAAAAATTGACAAAAGAATGTGTAATATAATAAATGCTATAATGTTCATTAGCAAATATAATAAGCTACTTTGGCAATGAAAATTTAATTAGGTTGTATTAATTTTCTGGTTCATAATACGAGTAAATAGAAACAGGCGACGATTCGAAACGAATAAAAAGAAATGCTTGCGTACCATGTATGAATACTTTAACCACTTGACATTAATGAAGTGAAATTATATTTTATAAAGCGTGTGCGATCACCTTCACAACACATTTATGACAATTAATTTTTTTTATTTAATAGTAGGAGTATTAAATTTAAATAAAACTTAATTTTTTTAAATTTTAATCATATTAATTATTCAAAATTTTTAATTTTTTAATGTACCATTCCTAACCTATACAAAATATGTATCTGTATGCAAATCAATCGAACATTTTAATAAGGTGAACAATAGAATTAATAAAATCTGTAATGCATTGAATTTAAATTAAAATAAATTTCTGAAATTTTAAAATACATTATACAACTAATAAATTACGTTATAATAATTTGACATTGAATAAAAAACATTTTTTTTATATTATAATATTAAAAAAATGTTTTTTATAATAAAGCTTTAATATTTTAATAATTTACAATATAGCAATAGAACTAAATGAAATTTACATACACACATACAAAAATAAATGCAACGAAATTATTCTGCTCTGATCTTATTAAAATAAGACCGCAAAAAATCCGCCTAATATTATTTTCTTATTCACCTATACAATTTATAGAGAAAAACAAGTATGTATGTATGTACAATATAAATTTATATATATATTTCTGTAAATGAATGGAATCGACTTACTACACATGTATTCATGTTTTTACACTAATTAAGATCAAATTTCTTTTAAAAAATTCAACGTTAAATCAGTCAATAATAAGGTAAAAAAATTTACAAAAAATCTAGAATATTGAAGGTAGCGGTAAATAGTATTAATTTCTGACAAGTAACTGATAAATACTTTACAATTTTCAATATTATAAGTAATGGCATGTTGACTTCTTAATATGGCCAATTTCAATGCAGTGGATTCGCATTCCAGTTTTTCATTTTTAAAAAATAGAATGCGAAAAAATTTAAAACCGACTCTTTAGCTCCGATTTTAAGAAACTATTATCCAAAGTCAGATAGATTGGCAAATAATTGACGTAAACAAGATTATAATCAATTATTGTTAAATGGGATGAAATAATTACAAATCGGACAAGTATTCAAATGAATATCGTAAAAATTTAATAATTAATTTAGTTAAGTATGAAATTTAGATATTTAAAAGTTAAAAACTTAGAGAGGCTATTATGGCGTTGAACAAATTCCAAACTAAGTATTTAAAATTTTAAAATATATTTTGCTTTTTTTCTATGTAAGTATAAGTTATGTACCTACCTATGTAAGTATAAATACCTTTTTTTTCTCTTAATTTGATTACGATAACAAAATTCCAGTGATTTAAAAACCGATAAGTATTTGAACATAATTAAAATTTCCAGATTATTATGGCATACATTTTTTTGTAATGAACTTTATAACTTGATATTATGGAATATCCCAAACATTAGGCTATATTAGATTTAAATAGTTTGATTTGCCAATATAAGAGGTCGGATTATGTACTTAATCGAATGCTACATTAAATGCTCAGTCTACAGAATAATATTTTGATCCTTATACATTAACAATATTTTCTAAGTACAGTAATCTTTTATATTTATTTACCCATGTGTCCATAAATTTAACAGCAACGCACCATATTACAAACGTGAAAATAATAATTGTCGTCTGGCTTAACAATCTACCTATCTTCACTAAAATTTCTAATACTTACTATAGTTATTTATTAATTTATTATGAATTTCAGCTGTACAATATTTTTTACATTTAAGAATTTTTCTATTCATTTACGCCTAATTATATATGTACGTAAGATGATTCTTGTTACAGCTATTATAACTAGTAGCGCGCTACGACAATATGAAAAACAAAAGAAAAAGCACAAACAAAAAGCTTGCATTAAAAATTGCTGTACATAATACTCACTTTGTTAAGTGTTCAATTTTTCTTGTTTTATGATTTTTATTTTCTCGTTATGTCACCTAATTGTTATTATATTTTATAGGGAGAACCAAGAATATTGTGACTAAGTTTTAAAGTGATCATTCATTTTGTTGTTAATAAATTAATATTTCGTTATGTTTATACAATTACGTTCTAAGTACAGTGATCCAATGATTTTCGCCCAAAAACAAAATAGAACTTGAAAAAGACTATTTTTTGTAAACTGTTATTGTTACTCTTCAAGGCAGTTTATGAACATGAAAGACATAACGACAAATATGGCGATGCTTTATGCTAAAGTAACATAAAATAAAGATAAAGACTGCATGAGATAAAATTAAGAAAACGATCTCAATAAAAAAAAATGCAATAATCAATTATGAAACTTAACATTTCGCTTTAACAATTTTAATTAGCAACATTTATTAATATGAATTAGAAAAACGATATTTATACGAGAGCAAAACAATGTGCAATCTGCTTTGTTTAACCATTAAAATTGTGTTCCAAAACAAGTGAAATTACAGACATTAGAATTCCCGTTTTTAATAATTGGATATCTCATTTTTCAAATGAAATTACTCACTTTTTCCACAAAATATTTTTATTTGTCTCTCTTAAAAGCGACTTGTCATCTTTAAAATCAAATTGAATAAATGGTGAGTAAGGATAACTATTTGTTACATGCACTTTTAAAAAAACGAAATATTGAATATAGAAAAATTCTTTTCACTTAAAAGCTACATTAAACAAATATCACTTACTCACTCATTTATTTAAAAAATGAACTGTCTCTACGAAGTTCGTTTTACTCCCATATCGCGTTGCTCATATTCCCATATTCTGTTGCTCATATTTCAAAAAACCTATTTCTACTTTCTGTACGATTTTGTTAGGTGTGCTAATATAATATTTAGTCTTTTGTTTAAAACAACCAATTATTTGATTTAAATCTAGTGATACACATAATTTTTCAAAATTTAAATAACTGCATTTTTATATTGACATGTGAAACTGACGAATAATATACCAAATTTTGAATAATTTTATTTCTATAAGAGCAAAATCTATTTACGATTAAAAAAACGATTCACTGTACATATTATGTATGTATATAAATTCTGTTATATTATTATATTTAGTTGAATTTTTACAAAAAAAAAAAGAAAGAGTATTTATGCATATGTGTTTGTGCACCTGGTTCTAGTGTTATGTACATATGTACATATTGTCTGACATATTATTACTGTATACTCGAGTTATCAGGCATAAAGTTAAAATAATAAAATATTTAATCTTGTATTTCAGTTACCGGGATTACGTTCGCTAGAATACTTGTGTATTTTTTAAAAATTTAATTTTTAGTATTTTTTTTTTGTTTTAAATACTTGTTAAATTGAAAAATAAAAATTAGTTATAAAACCAATCATTTCACCCCATTTTTCGTCTTATTTAATTTATATTTTATATTAAAATATTGAATTTGATTACGCATATTTATTTAGAATTTATTGAATTATTTTTTTTTTAAATAAAATAAAATTTATAATTTAATTAAATAAAATTTAATTAATTTTTATTTACTGATGAGAAATTATGATAAAATTTTGTGATATTTCTTGATATTACACGATTGAAAAAAAAAAAATTTATAAAATTAAACATCGAAATAAATTTTAACAATGATTTTAACAATGTTGTAATCTAAAATAAATGAATAAGTGCTCTTGTTAAGAAAAAAAATAAAAATAACAATTGAATTAAAATGAAAATCAATTGAAAATCTTAACAATTAACCTAAAATATAACTAAGTGTTATAAATTACTGTAACCTATAACAAAATTTATGATATTTAATTGAATTGTTTACAATATTATTAAAAAAAAAACAAAATTAATAAACAATAGTACTAAGTATCTATTTGTATTGACAAGTGGCAGTGTTACCAAACTAATTGATAATTTTATTCTTTATTTATATTGATTTACGATATTAAAATTATATACAAACGTCAGAGCTCAGTGGTGAAGTTAAAAAAAAATTGTGATAAATTTCATTGTATTAAAAAAAATAAAAAAATAAAAATTTATCGTAAATTATGTGATAATTAGTTTAAATAAATAAACAATATATTTAAGTGACATTTATGTAATTTATTTAAAGCAAATTTATGTATACATATTAGGAAAAAAAATTTTAAAATAAAATCAATCGAATAATATAACAGTTATTTACTGAATATTTTATTTGAAGTCAAGAATTATATAAAGAGATAAAATATAACAATAATGTAAGTACGAACGGTTTTATTGATATTATATGTATTGAAGGCAATTGCAAGTTTACCTGCAATACTCCAATAATAAATTTCCTAAGCATAATAAATAATTTGTTAAAATATTAAAGTTGAGTTTTTTCAAGTTCTCATTATTGTCTAATATAACTATAAATACCTTCCCCATGAAAATATTTGACAGAAATTTTATGTCTGGTTGCTCTATTTAGGAATTCTACAGTTTAAAGTATTTGGAAAATTTAAAAATTAAACAATTCCTATTTGTAATTTATGTGTAGGGCGAAAAATTCTTAAGATCTGACGCTTCAACTCAATGGTTCAACTCAAAGTTTTTGTCTATCAAAATCTAAATTACGATAGGCTTATAGAACGTCTTAAAAAAGTATTGTTTTTAAATTTAATATTATTTTATTTATTGTATTAAGATTTCATAACTTTTTCATCAATTTTCAAATTGTCACAGTGCTGACGTCTGTCATTAAATTTAAAATAAAAAAATAATCATAAGGTATCGTTACACTAACACCTTTAGCGTTTTAGGGTATAATTTTTAGAGTGAAATGGCACCCTTATACTTTTTAACTCCCAAGTTCGGCACTTGTCTTCGTAATATAAATTCTTCTAAAGATGCAGCGCTGCGTTTCTCCAAGTATTCTTCATGATTTTGAACTTCATCGCAAACATCTTAATTGTTGATAAATTGGTTCTCCTTACCGAGTAATTGCTTCTTTTTATTTTTCAGTATTAGGTATGTAAGATTTCTTTACCTTAAAAAAAGAAGAATAACATTATCTTATCTGCTTTAAAATTTTTTATCACTTTAATTTATAAAAATGAATTTATTTGTTATTATTAGAGACTTCATAATATTTTTTTAATATATTTTTCTATTTAAATGTTTTATGCTTCTTTAGAATTGATTATTCAATTGTCTATTATCAATATTAATGAATGATATCATAAATCTATGGCTATGTTGACATTATAATTTGACAATATTCATTGATTTTAGAATATTAATCTTAATTATAAATTCTAAAATAAAATTGTAATAGTGATAATTTTAGAATATAGTTAGACTATTGAATTTTGTGAGATTATTGGATTGTCTTGTGTGTCTTATACTGCTTAGGTTACATTAGCCAAATATTTTGTATAACAATCAAATAGTTCGGAAATTATGCTAAATGAAAAATTTTATATTTTATTACATACTTAAATATTTCAATCGCATATATAATATGCTTTAACCTATTGAATGTACCCACTTTACCTAATGTTAAAAAAAATCGCAATTAAAAATCAAGTTCACAACTAAAAACCAAAAAGTTTCCTAATACGTATTGCATTTTAAAATAAATAATTTTTGTTTTCGATTGAGTTTCTGCAAAATACACTAAATATTATTATTCATTAAAAACGAAAATAGGAAGAGTTGACCGTGACAATTCTGTGATATTTGTAACAATGAATGATGTTAAGCTATATGTAAATTTCGGCAATACAGTTTCAATAGTTTAAATAGGGATTCAGTTACGAATTTTACTAATACAACATTATAGTTGCGGAATTAATAAGAATGTGCTTATTACACTACTAATTTATCTTAATGGAAATTCCTTCATGCAACTGCAGAACAGATGGATGACGTAATCAAAGGAACGAGTTAAAGGCAGAAAAATTTTTTTAATGAATTTTTCTGCCTTTAACTCGTTCCTTTGATTACGTCATCCATCTGTTCTGCAGTTGCATGAAGAAATTTCCATTAAGATAAAGGATTCAGTATATACTAATATAAATTATTTCTGAAAATTTGGTGAGCTTAGCTCAATTAGTTTTTGAGTTATCGTTGGAACGGACTGATGAACAGACTAGCAGACGGAAAGGGTTGTTTAAATCGTTTCAAAATTCGAAGCTAATCAAAAACACACACTATTTTAGATCCTTATTTATTAGCGTTACGAACGGTAAGGCAAATTTATAATACCGTTTGAACATACATTCGTACGTTTATTTCTCAACTTACAATTATAAAATGTTAGCGACAAATTCGATTTTAAACCTGTTTGCAAAATATTTCCAGAACCGGACCAGCATGTGTGAGATTTTCTGTATTTCCATGTAGATTATTATTCATGAAACTGACACTATTTACGTTACCTACAAATTAACAATGAACCCGGTATATTTAAAAAAAATTATTTAAGCGATACAATAAAAATGTAGCAAAATATTATTAAAACAAAAAAAAGACGAAAATTGATTGCTTTTCCTAAACTACATAGTAACAGACAGAAAATCAAAATATTACAGTTTTCAATTTGGTTCCCCTCAAAACCCCGGAACTAAATTAAATACTTGTTCCATATAAGATAAATTCTATCATGATGCACAGTAGAGGTTTGAGTTAAATTTTAATAAAATTACGCAACTATATTTCTCCAGCAAACAAGCACTATACACTTATTATACTTAAATCAGTTCACTATTGAGACAAATTGTGTTTTTATTATCAGGATGGAATTTTTATTTCTCTGTGTTTTTATGCTCTTCTTGTGCGAGTAAAAGATAATATCATTTTATTATATTATAATTTTATGATAGGAAATGGTTGAATTTGGTCACGCGAATTTGATTATTATGTAACGAGTAAAAAAACAAAAAGTAAAATTTTTATCACGCAGTTAAAGCTTTGCATATTATATGTGACTACACTTACAGGTTTTATTTAAATCTTAAGATATTTTTCTCTACAAAATTTTTATTGCAAAAATAATAAAGAATAATTCTATTATCATTTTGACGATTTATTTTATTAAAGAAGATAATGTCTTAACATCATTAAATTATTAAAAAAAAATTCTTTTCATAATTTGTTCACTTGAAACATAAAAAAAATAAAAATTAAGAAAACCAAGTATTTTCCCTCAAATAAAATTTTTTTAACAAATGGGTACGTATGCCCTTAACGAAAACTGACAACATTAGCAAAAGCGAATTGAAATGCAATAAAAACTTTCATTGATTACGATTTCGTGGCCTGCATAAATCTTCGATACTTTATATAATGCAAAACCGTACAAGGTTGATGTTTTAATGATTTACTGGGTCAATTTTCAACAAAGTACTCGTGCTCGTAAATTTTTAGAAATTTTTATAAAAAGGTTACGTGTGAACATGCTGTTTAACTTTTTTAAAGCTTTTACCGAGGCCTTGTACAGAAAATCTCTTATTTCTGTATTATGAAAGGCTCAATATTAGTGTTTAATATTGCCAATCATTTTTGAGAAATAAAAAAGAGTAAACCTTGTTCTTATTTAGTTCTAGTTTTTGCATTATTTTCTCCTTCTCATAAATACAATTATATGTTTTAATGTTTTTCCATACTCAAGTCTTTCCATTTTTCAACGTCTTGAATTGACTTAAATTTATCAAAATTTCGAAATACGCAAACATCTATCTGACATACATTCAAAATATGAAAAATTGATTTTCATCATTAGTTCACAAACTAGTAAACAAATATTCAGAGTAGCCTTTCACAATAAAGAATGAATTTACACTAATAATTTTACCTTAATTTTACTTTGGAAACCTTACGTCTTTGTGATAGATTAAAACTTTATAAGTTAGGCATTTCTTATAAATTGGACGACTACTCCCATCAGGAAATTTTAACCTTCACTCTGTTAATTGTTTCTACAACCTACATGCGTGTTTCTACAACCTTTATGGGTATAATATCACCAAAGATATTTTTAATAATAAATATGAGCCGAAAAACAAAGTTAAAAAAAATTTTCTTTTCATCAAAATTTTGATCAAACCCAATATGTGTAAGCTGAAAAACATAAAGATTCTGTTTTAACCCCTAAGTTAACAAACTTTCATTCTCTTTCTTCCTTTTTTATATAAAATATATAAGAGCAAGGTTTCCTTAAAGGTGAGTTGGGAATTTGTGCGCGACCTGATTTTATTTACACTTAGATTGGGCTGAGATAAAATTTTATCCCGGTGGACGGCAGAGCGTATGGGGCTCTAGAATCGTAGTTAATTTTTATTAGACTTTTTAATTCCAGCTACGACTACCATTTAAATTGGATTGGAGCAAAATTTTACCACTGTGTAAGGAGAGGGTTAAGGTAAAATTTGAAAAGTATACAATTTGAAATATTAATATGAAATTTAAATTAAAAAGTGTAATGTAAAACTTTATTAAATAAAAAAATTGACTTTCATTAAAATCAATAATTAAATTTCATTTATCATTTCTAAAATTCTAAATTTTATTAGATTAATTGTTGCCGTATTCCAGAATTACAGAATTAATTTATCAAAGTTGATTTTTATATTGTAAAAATAAAATCTAGATTTATAAATTTTTAGAATGACTAATTAACAAGATTAATTTAATAAAGAATTTTTTTTTTACTTAATCTATTGCTCATTTAAGAAATTACATACTTAGTTAATGTAAGAAATGTGAGCAGCGTGAACTTATATTACAACATGAATATTTTTATGATTATTTCTTGTGGGAAATGAAAAGTAAAACCATAGTTTCGTGTAACTATTTTTAGTTAAATGAATTCTTAAATGAATCTCTGTAGTTTGAAAGTTCTTAATTTTTGTTATTAAATTAAACACGAAAACTGGCGAATAATGCAGAAACTAATTTAATCTTAATTAATTAACTGCCTAATAATTGAGTTGCTAACTAAAACCAATTTACTGGTAGTATGAAACCGCATTAATTCCGCATTGATTATAGAATTACTTTTCGGGAACACAAAGCTTTGTGATTAATCCACAATGTGCTAGGGAAGTTTCGAAGTAATGAAATAGGTAGTTCGATCTTTAAATTTTTTGAGCTCATTATGAAGGTCACAATATTCGCCTTCGCCACGATTAATTTTTGAACTCAGTAATTTATTTACTTACGGCATATGTTTAAATCCGAACTTGAAAATTTAAAAGAAGAACTTTGGAACAAGTTTACTTTCAGCCGCAATATTCAATAAATAGACTTTATATTATATTATAGGTACCCTTAAGGCAAATAATTACATATAAATTTCAATCAGAATTACAGTTTCATTTACTTCTTTCAATAATGTTATCATGAAAAAAATCGGTACATATGAATAAAAATTTTTAGCGATTTAAATCATTGTATTTAAATGATTATCTCTAAATAGCCCAGTAATAAACAAAACTGGAACCATTCACAATTCGATCAGAAAATTGTACTTCTTCTCACCGCATTATATAAGTATATTATATTTGTAGTACTAGTAAATTTTTAAAACACTTCTAACTTTTTGATTGAATAACTCTGACAATAACATTATTTATTGCTAATGTTTTCATAATATTATGAAGATAAGCGAAAATCTTTCAATTTTGTTTACATTTTGTTGTATTTGTAAACAAGTAAACTGTCATTTTTTTTTTCTACGACAATTCTTTTAGGTTATCACACTTGTATAATAATTTGAAATTATCCTAAAGCAAGTTTTGTGTTATACAATATGCTAGCTTATAACAATATGTTATAACTATTAAAAATAAATTAAAGCAACATTTACATAAATTTAACAACTAATGACATAGAGCAGGTGTACAAATTAAATTTTCAGGTACAAATTCGTAAAGGTCATAATACAGAAAAAGCGAAAATTGTTGTTGTTGCCTTTAGCTTTTATTCTGTTAACCTGAATATTGTGGAAAATATGCTGCTTTCATTGATTATTATGATGACTTTTAGAAGAATTTATAAAATTTGTAAATTATGTACACACACATAATTTGGAAAATGAATGTTTTCGAAATGTCTGAAATTTTAATTATAAATGTTTTAAAGTTATGTAAAAATAGTTCCACAAAAAAATATCGGTAATGCACATGCAGAAACAATGAGAGAACTTTTCTAAAATATTCTCTACTTGGAAGGCAGTAAAATGAGAAAATTTGATTTATTATAGTTTTTCTTTCATTTTAGTTGTGAAGAGTAGTATTGGCTATTTTTACACTATATATTGGTAGAAGAATATCACATTTACGTAATATGTAAATACTTTACGTATGAAACATCCAAATGAAAGCAAAGTGTTTGTAAAATGCAACGTGAAGATTAAACCCTTTTTAGCGGATTTCCAATAAAAAAAATTTTGTTGTTGGTTTCACTCTGCTTGTATTTTCATCCGTCCACGCGTTCTTTTTTAAATTTATGTGCCCTAGAAAACATATAATATGAATATGCCCTAGAAACAAATAATATGAATTTTTGCGAGAAACATCTATTTCTTCAGAAGAAATGTTTCCCCTTCCTAAAAATTGTACCCATGCAAAATCCTAAAAATATCAATTGCTTTTGGTTTGTTGCAACGAAACCATGAATTTTTTGTGACATGCAAAATTATAGTAGAAAAACTACTACAAAATAGCATAGGCTTAGAGTTACAATGAAAAAATGGTAGTCGAAATTTATGATTATCTTAAAATCTTTTTTTCCCAAATTTTCGAAATAATATTAAAATTAATAATCTAAGAAATTAAGCCACAAAAGTATAAAACTTTAGCAATTACAATATATCAATACATTTATTTCGTTAGAAAAAATTTTTTACTTCTTTTGCCGAAATTTCGATTCTCAAAATAAGCAATAATTCAATTTTCGATACATTACTTTTCCGAAGTGCTGAAATTGTATCTAATTAAACATCGAATTCGGCCATTATATGTCGCAAAAAGAAAAAGTTAAGAAGAAAGTATTTTCTTAAAAAAAACATTCTTTCTAAAAAAAAAAGGAAATGTGCTACTAAAAGCGTTTTGTTTAATCCCAATTTATGTTCATCGCTTTCATCGTCTTGTTTTAAAAAAATCTACTAAAAACAGAAGCATATCCTATTTATGTGCAGGAATATAATGAAATTTAAATAAAATATTTGTAATTAATTGTCAATATGATCAAATATTGGACAAAATGGTTTCATAAATAAAAAAATTCATATAAAGCATTAAATAGAAACTTTTTTAACATTAAATCAATTCACCATTAAAAAAGCTTGCAAATATTAAAAAAAAAGGATTTGATTGTGCTTGCAAGTAAATCATGTATGTGCATAATTATTTCTTTTGCGAGAACTGGTGAGCGTCCATAAAATTTTCAAATAAAAATTCTAAGTATACACACCCAATTTGCAATATAGTTCGCATATAATAATACGTAAATTTATTATTTAAATTAAATTAAAATTTATCACAGTACCTGATCTGATAAAAACAACCAGCCATGCGACTGAAAATTCTTAAATATAAACAAGAAACCAACTTTATAACGTAAATATTTAGATAAAGCATTAAACATAATATCTTATCAATTTTAAAAATAGCTACTTAAATAAAGTAAATTTTATTTACATTGGTGAATTCAGAAATTGTGTTTTAATTGGATGTTTGCTGTTTTCAGTAACTTGTTATCATTACGAATTTTGTTTTTGTATACAAATAAAACGTTGATAATTTCTTTGATAATTTATTTACATAATGTAAAACAGCTGTTTTGCAGTTCTAAAATTATTTATTTGTATGTTGTGTCTATAAAAAATATTATGGGTACAAAATCACATACAATATGTACTTACTTTTTTCTCCAGGGTATTAACTAAAAACTCACTATTTTTTCTTGAATTTGTATCGCATTCAATATTGTAGAATTTCAATACACAAAAAAAATAATTTTTGGATACTTTTTAATGAAAGCTACCAGAATCAAGGTCTTAAGCAGCAAAACATTTTTCAAAGTTTTGTTTTTTTTTCGAAAATTCATACTTTACCTAAATTTTTGATTTGATGAGATGATTTTTCTAAAAATACGAAAAATCATACTTGAATTTCAAATATCAATAAAAATGTTAGGAAATGTTATGAAATTCGGAAAAATAAAAACATTCCTTAAATATGTATAGGTAATAGCAGTCAATGTGAATTAAATTGAATTTAAACATGAACAATCCAAGCAATCCAATCAAAATGGTTAAATCCAAGCAATTGATTTCAATACTATCCACTCATAATCCAAATAATGTTTGGCTAATTATCCATCAATGAAAACTTTATTGGTACATTATTAACTTATTTTAGTGTCGAAAAATGTTGAAGAAATTTTTGGTTTTCGAAATTCAAAATCGCCTCAATTTTGAAATGGTTTCGTTATTCAAAGTTGAAGCAAACACACAATATAAGAAAAAAAAATAAATACTTATGTGCTTTCATAAAACTTTGAAAAGGTATTAATTTTAGCTTTTAACATTGACCCTAACAAAAAACATCATGGCAAAATTAATATTTTAAACAAATAATTTTGGTGAACTCGGCATGATCTCCTTTTTAATTTTTTGACAAAAAACATCGAGAAAATATGCTAAAATATTGAGAGAACCAGTTCTGCAACAGCAAGCTAAAAAAATATGTTTCTTCAACTATTTGATTGATGAAAACTTTTGAAGTTCTGAATTTTGAAATAATCAGTTGAATTAAAAGTTATCCAGAGATCAAGAAAAACAAGAGAAACGTAGGACTTTCGATAGTCTAAATATAGAAATTATTTTAAATTTAATCGAGTTTTTGAGAAATTTGTCATTTAAGAAAGCTATAAGATTTTTTTATTATTTTCCACACGGTAAGAATGGGTTAAATTTTCTTCACAAAGATCGGTTAATTCACCCATTAACCACCTATTTGCACATTATAAACTTAAATTTTTTAAATTTTTCGTCTAAAAAAATTCAAAAACTAAAAATTTCCTTGTATTTACTTGTAAAATAAAATTCCGTATCAAAATATTTCCCATTTCTATAATTAAATATCTATGAAATCAAAAAAAAATTTAATTAAAACCTCACACACAATGAAGGGTGAAGAAAAGTCATTACCCTATGGCACTAATGACAATGTTAATAAAACAAAAACAAAAAACAAATTCAATAAAGGAAATAAAATTTTTATTTTTATAAAAAAAAAAGTTGAAAAAACTCTCAATGATTTTTTGAGAAAGACTAACAGAATAATGCGCGAATTACGGTTTTCAAAATAACGTTAAAATAAATAAAAGATATGAAAAAATAAATAAGAAAAACTGGTTTTTGTTTACAAAATGATTTTCTGTGTGTTCCCAGTTAAATTTAAGCTCATATACCAAATACAGTTATCTGATTTGTTGCAAAATTAGTTTTCACCTAATTTTCTAAATTATTTTCCTAATATTTACTTAAAAGTTTTAATTTCGTTTTTATCAGTAAACACTTTATAAAAAAAATAACAGTAAAAAATTAAATCATAGTTGCCAAATTCAACCTATTAAAATTGCTCCAATTTTTATTAAGGTGCGTGTTTTGGCCAATTAAATTCGATAATTACCGTTCACAGTGCATACAATGCCCTGGTTATGTGCTGTTCAAGTCAGTCAATTATTCCAATTATGAAAACTAATCCCAATTACAACTGCTTTTAAAATTATAAATAATCCATTTCTTATAAGACCATTTCTTATAAGATTAATTAAGAAAACAACTAGAGAATTTAAATCACCTGTCTTTAACTTAATATGACATACTACCGAAGTAATTTTAGTACACTTCTTTTAACTAAACGAATTAATGCTGATTTCATCTCATTTTTAATTTCAGTGCTTAAAATGAAATTTAATATATTCTCAAGGAATACTCCAAAAGAAGGAGAAGTTGAATGTCCAAGCGATGATTTGATTAAACCAAGCGATAAACCATTTTTTCGACAAGTTACTATAGAAGAAGAACCAGATTCATTAGACAGTGTCATAAGTAATCCACAATGTAAGTTGAAATTAATTTATGGAACTTAACTTATAATTAGCATGTGATTCAAGAAATAATATAAAAATTCTTTTATTAACATTTTTTTTTTAGCATATCCTATTACAATTGTGCCAAGTAGACCTAAAAGTTTTCATGGTTGTAGCCCAACTTATTTAAATGATAAAAATAATTTTAATAGGTAAGTCAAATGAAGACTACATATATTATATATTTAAATGAAAGTGCTAGCCTATATATTTAGACTCACATTAATAATAATTGGAATATCTATGAAGCAAAAAATTTGATCAATAATTTAATTTTTTTCCTGACCCATGAAGACTAATGAAGAGCGAACATTAATCTTTACTTTTTTCAGAAGTATAAATAATCATTAAATTATCAGAAGTATAAATAATAATTTCATTAATCGCTACTTTTTCCAAGAAGTATAAATAATTTTCGAGGAAAATAGTTTAGTACCTAGATCGTAGATTTTAGTTAATAAAATCGTGCCAATCCAAAGAAGTCAACAAGTTAAAAATACTGGTTCTAAAAGCAATTTATTACATTATTTTAATTATTTTCATTGATATATCAAATTATATATAAAACGATTGCATACATTTAGGATGAGAAAAACAAAAATTTAAAGAAGCATTACAATAATGGATAATTTAAACTGTTAAACAATTGCTTTGTTTAAATGGTTAAATTGCAACTGTTAAACAATTGCAAAAATTTGGAAAAGCTCGCATTTTCGAAAATATGTGGTGCAAAAAATCAAATTTTACGAAATTTCGAAAGACGATAACTTAAGAAGGTAAACGAGCTTGAAAAATATTTACTTCTAGCAATCGTTTAGAAGAAAAGAGGGGATCAAAAATTTGAAAAGCGAATTTTACATAACGGTTATTAACTAAAGGTCAATTAAGCTTTAACACGGTAGAAAAAACTCACCACTACTTTTTAATACTTCTATCATTTTAAGGATTTTGAGGGGCCTATATTTTTCAACGAATTTTAATAAGATGTATATCAAATAATTTTGTTAGATTTTAATTTTTTTTGTTCTTTCCTTGTTCAACTTTTGAATTTCAGAAATTTACACTTTAATTAACCAGGCTAAATCTCAACTTTTATTTTATTTAAATTTGTGTGCTTATTCTAGACTTATTTCATTTTAAACTCGTGTTTTTGTATTTCAACTAGAATTTAAAAATTTTTGGTTAACTTCAATATTTGGTAAACAATAAGAAAGATTGATACACAATATTAATTTATCAGGTCATAAGGGACCAATATAAGATAAAAAAATTTTCAATTTATTTAAACTAATTTATTATAATTTCAAAAATAAAAAAACACAAAAATAGCTACGACAAGTTTTGAGATTTCAAAACTAACTAATTCACTTATGAAACTAATAGCACTTTATGAAGTTTCCTTTACCTCAAGATTTTAAAATTTTAAAATTTTCATACTTTTTAAATTTTATTTACACAATTAAAATGGTATGCCAATTGGTAATATAGAATTAAATATAGAATTTTTGATTATCAAATTAAAATTTAATCAAAATTTCCACTTAATAATTTATTAACACTATTAACAGCTACTTTTAAATTATTAATAGACCTTAAATAATATTTTATAAACAAGTATACAAAGATTTCAGTTTTATATTTAGAGAACAAATTGTTAGTTTTTACAATAATCATCAATTAGTGAGTTAATAATGAGCTAAAAAAAAATATTTTTATCATAGAAAACAACTTTATATCAGTTGTTCTCAAAATGTTTTGTTTTTTTAAATAATTTTAAAACTAAAATTAATAAAAATTTATTTTTCTTAATAAGTAATTGTTATTTATTAGTTTCATATGTCAGTAAGATGTAAGCCTCTTTTGGTATTTCAAAAACAAGCACTTAAATTATTGTAATTTTCTAAAATCACATATAATCAAAACAACAAGTTAAAATTAACTTAAAACCTCATAATGTAGAAATTAAAAGAAGTAAGGCACTTTATAAAGTTATAATAACCCTACCTATTATAATAACACTCACTTTAAGTGTTTCAATCGTCACTATAATAAAATTTAATTTCAAAACAATAATCGTTTATACCTTTCAATACGAAACTCAGAATACTGTAAAGCGACTTGTCGATCGTGTACAATTCGGGGAATTTCCGAATTCCAAAAGCTCACTTTAAAAATAAGTAACTCATTGATAAATGTTATATATTAGTGAAATAAATAGAGCGAGCTTTGTAGGTTCCGCGATTTTTGAAGATAGATGTGGAAACTTTAATATAAGATTTCCTGCCTCTTATATAATTAAGTACAGTTAACTCAAGTTGCTTAGGTAATATTTATTTTCATTGCTAGTCTCACTTTTGTTACTTTCACAGCCTTACAATATGAGGGCTACTAAAAATTTCGCTAATTTATCGCAGTCCTGGATATGCAACTAGAATTTTAATGCACTTAAAAACTTAATAATTATTTTGCAAATTTTTTATTACTGTCAAAAATTAATTATATTAAAAAATAGTTCATAAATATTAAAATTTTAAGATTTCTAACAAAACTCAATTGAAAAGCTAGTAAAATTCCACATGATTTAACTCAATTTACTAAACACAATTTCATAAGTATGAACATAAAATTTACTGTTGAATCTTATGCCAATAACAAAATCTTAAGTATTAAAATTTGCTTTAGAACTTTACTTTGACTTAAAATTAATTTTTTTCAGTTCAAAAAAATTCTTAAAATTGCATAACATGTTATACATACCTGTACTTATTTTGCAATTAGCACCTTCATTAAGCAAACCTCTGAGTAGTAGCTCTGATAACAAAATTTATTTAAAAATATCGAATGATCAATAAAATTCTACAATTGATGTTTTTAATTTTATTATTTAATTCAGGAAAATAATAATGTTCTAATAAGAAAAAAAATATTAAAGTTGGTAAATATTTTAACTAAATAAATAATTCAAGTATAAAATAACACTATAATAAAAAACATTATTGTTAATGTTTTAGGTTCCGAGTTGACGTGTTAAAAAATTTTTTTAACACGTCAACATCTAGGTAGATTATAACTTTCAAAAATTTCAAAAAAGAGCTCGGGCTTTTTTTAACGAAAACGACAATACATAATTAAAATATTCAAAATGTTTTTAAAATTTTTGGCAGTGTGCTCCCAATACTTCTATAAGATAAACTTTTTTATGCTCTTCTATAGATAAGACAGGAGGTTTTAATACATAAAATATCCAAAAAGCACTTCAAATACCAAGCTAATACCAGCTTTTCCTTAAAATTTTAAGAAATAAATTTTTGAGGAAAGGGTTCTAAACCGAAACTGATTTCAATTTTCTATAAAAAATCAATTAATGCAAAGCTACTATAATTAAAATGATTTAGACAACACTAAATGAAAAACAAATTAATTAACAAGTTGTTAAATTAAAAGCCTATAAAAAATTAATTTTTTTTTTTTGAAAATTATTTTCAAAATATTTTAAAATTCACTACAGTTGCGAACGTTCTTCATTATTGTTAAGACATACTTAACTAGTTCTAAGAAGATTGAAAAATATTTTAGAAAAACTAAGGGTTTTTGAAAATATTGCAATTCTTGTAGAAACCAAAAAATATAAAAAAATTTATTAACATTTACAAATATAAATAACAAAATATTAAAACGATGAATTTGTCTGGTGTTAAAGTTGTTGATAATGACAATCAAGCATTATTATCAGATCCATGGAAATCTCGTAACGATCGTGACACAAATTCAATTCCATCCCCAGGAACATATTTTGAACCAATTAAAGATGGAACATTAGTAAGGTGTGTTTTAATTTCCAAGTTTTATTCAAATATATTAGCGAAAAACGAATCAAAACTATTTCAAAATTTTATATGTAAAAAGGTGGAGAAGATTAAAGTTGACCAAAGATAAATTTATATTGAATTTTAAAAGTGTTTGTTTTTAAAAGAGAAGGGAAATTTAAAAACCATACAACGATTCTCTCCTTCGAGCACCCTCGAGTAAAATATAATTAACCAAATGCTTTAATATAAGTAACAAAGCCTGTTTCTTCGGAATTTTTGATTATAAAATTTGTTCCAGTTCCAGCTTAATAAAATTTTTTTAATCTTTTTTTTTATTATTTTTATAGAAGCCGTAGCTTTCGAAATAGTTCAAGAAAATTCCGGAAGCGTGCCATCTTTAAAAATGGAGAATGTAATGTAATACAAAAAAATTTGGATAAAAAAGGAATACGTTATTTACAAGATATTTTTACAACACTTGTTGATTCACAATGGCGTTGGACTTTGTTAATATTTGGATCAAGTTTTGTTTCATCTTGGCTCCTATATTCAGTATTATGGTGGTTAATAATGTTAACTCATGGTGATCTTGAAGAAATGCACTTACCAAATAATGCAGGTTTTTATATTTATAATCTTTTACAAATTTCATAATTGTATATTTAATATGTTTATCATTTTTTTTAGCTGAAAATGGTTGGACACCATGCGTTACACAAATTTATTCATTTACATCATGTTTTCTATTTTCAATTGAAACACAAACAACAATCGGTTATGGTGGTCGAGCAACAACTGAAGAATGTCCTGAAGCAATATTTTTAGTTATATTTCAATCTGTATGGGGTGTTATGATGCAAACATTTATGGCTGGAATTGTTTTTGCTAAAATGACAAGATCAAAACAACGTACACAAACATTATTATTTTCAAAATCAGCTGTTATATGTCAGCGTGATGGTGAATTAAATTTAATGTTTCGTATTGGTGATATGCGTAAAAGTCATATTATTGGTGCAAATGTACGTGCACAATTAATACGTACAAAACAAACAAAAGAAGGTGAATTAATGTCACAATATCATACAGAATTAGAAATTGGTGCTGATGATTGCGGTTCAGATATATTTTTTATATGGCCAACATTAGTTGTACATAGAATTAATGAGGAATCACCATTTTATAATATGTCAGCTGCTGATTTAATACAAGATAAATTTGAAATTGTTGTTATATTAGAAGGTACAGTTGAATCAACTGGTCAATCAACACAAGCAAGATCAAGTTATTTAAATAATGAAATATTATGGGGACATCGTTTTGATCCAGTTGTTAGTTATAATAAAAATCGACAATCATATGAAGTTGATTATTCGAAATTTGACGAAACAATACAAGTTGATACACCATTATGTAGTGCAAGAGAATTAGCTGAATTTTATAAAATACAAGATGGTTTTACAACACCAGTTGGTAAGATTTGTCAAAATTAAAATTATTTTTTTTTTTTCATTTAAACTGTTTTTTGTTTCTTTGTTAAGCTTATATATATATATGTACAACTAACTGCACACCTTTTAGTAATTGAAAAAAAATCTTTAAATTTAAGAACATTTAAATGTTTAATTTTTTTCATTCTATAATTTTTCTTATGGCTTATTTTCACAATAATATATAAAAGAAATATTAAAAATTATGATATATGACGGTCACACTCTTCTTATAAATCACTTTACTAAACTTGCCCACTCATTCAGAATGCTGCAATAATAAGAAAAACTTAATTTTTTTTTGAGTTATTAAATTTTATTTTGATTTGTTTTTTAAAATAATAAATTCGGATAATCAAAATTTTTAATATAAAATACCATTACAGTTACTGTTACTCCCGCCACATAATTAATAAAATTTAGTTTGAGATCCGTCCCCAATATGGGACTATTCTTAGAAATATCAACTTATTTAGAAGGTAGTATTAAAATCTCATTATAAATTCTATACTCGTATACAAATTTTTCAAAATTTTTTCACTTTTCTTAAATTTCATATACAAATTAATTATCATTTTTCCTTCTTTAACATTTTATTCTAATTTAAATGGGGGTGTTTTTTATTTTTGTTTATTAATTAGGAAAATTATACTAATCTTAAGAATAAATTTCATAATATAAATTGGTCATTTATCAAAATTCTTTAATTAATAATTCTTAATATTTTTCAAAATTAATTTTATTTTGCACTCTTGGCACCAGCTTTCTCTTTAAAACTTTAATATAAAAAAGTTTTAAATAAACAATAAAAAATTTTACAAATAAAATTAAAAATTATTTTATTTTATTTTTTTAAATTCAACAATAGAAAGGACTACATTCGCTTTACGTCAACAGTCAATAAATCAAGCCGAATCTTAGAGATTCAATTCCAAAAAAATAAATAAAATAAATCATGCTTATGTGATACGTCTACATTATTTGCATTAATAAAAATCCAAAAATTTTGTTTTTATAATTTAGTTAGAAAGCTTTAAAAAAATTTTTAGTTTGTTGCTGGCAATAAAAATCATATTAAGTAAATATAAATATACTTATATACAATATATACATACATATATGTACATACATGTAATGTAATAATTTTAAAAATTAATTAAAAAATTATATTCGAAAAAATAATTTTATTTATTAGATATTATGAAATTATTTGAAGATACCCATGAATATTATCAAAATTTAACAGTGAAATCAGTTGATTGTATTGAATTATTAAAATCTAAAGATTGGAAAAGATTAATCAAAAATCAAAATGGTCATCCAACAGATAGTACATCATTTAAATCAACATCAATATCAACAAGAAGTTGGCCTGAATGGGATTTTTCAGCAAGTTAAATTCGAATAAAATCGCAAATTATAAAAAAAAATAAGAATTTATATATTTGCTTTTTTAAATAAAATTTAATTATAGTACAATTTAATAATAAATAAATTATAAATTACGAGTTTTGATTTCAAAAATTATATATTACAAATTTTAAAATTTATTATTTTAAAATAAAATCCTTGTAATGCAAGTTCCACAAATATGTAAATATTGCGATAATTAAATCCAATTAAGAAATTAAATATGTCTGAACTGAATAATAATCTAAATGAAAAAATATTTTCTAAAAATTTCTCAATTACAATGAATAAAGAATATCGAAATTACAATTTAAAATTGAAAATTCAATTTTAAAAGTTTTACCATTTAGAGATTCACATTTTTAGAGAACATGGTCGGCAAAATCTTGATTAAACTATAATTGAATTTAACTATTACATAATTGTGTATACTTGATTCTGGAACTCGTGTAATATTAATTACTTGTTGAACATTTATAAATTATATATAAAAAAGCAATCAAAAGTCAATAAATTTCATTATTAAGTATTAAAAAAAATATACGAGTATAATTAAGCAATTCATTTGATTATAATAAGAAAAAGCATTATTAGTCTTTAGTTTGTAAACTTATTTTAGTGTATTTTATGTATTTTAACATAATTTGTAAATTTAATCTTTTAAAATAGAAATCTTCTATATAAAAAAAATAAATTACGCATATCAATTAATATTTTTAATTGTTAATCACAAATTATTTATTATATAAAATGATTTAAAAATAAATAAATGAAATTTGTTATTATTGTTAAAATAATTAAAAAATTGACGAATCAAATTTAATGAAGAAAACAAAGTTGAATTTTGTATATAGGCAATGTCTAATTATACAATATTAATAAATTATCAAAAATTTGTAATTTACAAAAGAAAAATTAATGAATTCAATAAATCATCATTCCTTAATTTATTCGTATTAATAATTCTTAATAATTTTTAATAAAATCGTATTTTGTAAAATTGCAATATTATGAACTATATGACTTCCGAAATTGCAGTAATACTGGATTGATTTGATTGCATAATTGAACCATAACTAAATAAGATTCTAATACTATATTATTGAAATTTTAGAAACCAGAGGGTAACATTTTTAACAAAATTTTGTTCTTGTATAATTTCTTTAATCTTATTTCGATCTAGTTACAGTTACCAATCTATATATTCCTTAATTAATTTAAATTGTAAATCTAGAGAAAAGCTTATCTTTCAATTTTATTACATACTATGTAAATAAAAAATATTATTGAAAGTTTACACAAATTTAAATTATACCGGAAACAAAATTTGAAAAATTTGTTAATTTAAGTAACTAAATTTAATATAATTCAAAAAAAGATATTAAAATTTGGGCTAAAGAAACGTCATTAAAATTTAACAATACATCGGACACACGGTAAATAAATTCAATATAAAAATTTTTTTGGTATCAAAATATAAAAATAAATTATTTTTTTTTCAATAATTAAATGCATGTTGTTAATTAAAATGCATTCAGGAATCATTTTTCATTTCTGAAATTCATTATTTTAATTTAGGAATGTTTGCTTGTTCGTGAATTCTAAGATCTCTTGTTCTTGTGCTTGAATTCTAAGATATATTATGTTCGCAAACACTGTCATTTCTATTTGATTACAAAATATATTTATTAAAAAAAATATTTAAGTAAAATAGGGAAAATTACCAAATGTACATATATTATATGGGGTTTTTTGACATTTCGGATATGCGCTTAAAGTTCTAACTTAAATCCTAAAAATTCTTTTTTTGCATCATTACAAATCTACAGGAACTAACTACATAGCTTACATGCTTACAAACGATTTTCGAATATGCTTCATTTGTAGTAAAGATTTATGAAACACCCTACATTTAAAGATTTTGCAGTTTTCATTTATCGAACATGTTTTATATTAAGATGTTTTATATTAATTCGATTGAAACTGAATTTTCGAAAATCCTTTATTTCAAATTCAAAATGTACTCTAAATATCAAAGTAAATTTTATCTTCCGATAAATTTCTATTGCTCTTAATATTCCTACGAAATTGTTAAATTCGATTTTAAAATTGAACCAAAACTACATTTATGACAATTTTTTATAAACAGATTTTAAATTTTATAACAGAAATATTCTTATTTATTAAATTTATTTACCTTTAAAATTAGTACATACATAATTAATTTTTTTTATTCCTATGTACTTACATTAAAAGTGGAATCAATTTAATGATAACTAATTAGCATGGTTTTGTTAAAAAGAAAATTTCAATTATAAGGTAAAATAAGAATTTTTTCAAAATATTAATTTTTTACAAATTAAAAGAATGAAACAAATTCTGATCAAAGTAATGAAAGTAGCACGTTTCCTATGTACAAGTGACAATACGGGGGTTTTTGTTTATTTAGTTCTAGAATAGTTCTAGCTTGTAGTATGTTTGAAAGTTCACGCTACAAACACTGAACATACATATATAGATTGTTCGCAAATTACTGGCTGCAATAAAGTGTGTTCGAAAATCCAAGCTATAATAAAGAAATGTCTGAAATATGGCGCAGACCCCTAGTTTAAATTTTTTCGCTGCCTCATGAAATTTCTTTTTTTTTAATTTAAAATTCAAAAAAATTTTAAATTTCAAAATGACAGATTCACATATTGATTATTAAAGCAAGTTTTCTTTAAGTCTTTAAATCTTGTTAAAATTTCCTTATTTTCCAGTGAATTGGAAGGCAAAAAGTATTGAGATACAATTTCCTAAACCACTTTGCTTCTGTTATATTCGAAAGACTGATTATTTAGAAGTTTCAGAATTTGTAGACTCCGGAAACCAAAAAAAAGCTTAGCTAAAGTTTTTGCATACTGTTTAACGCTGCGACTTAGAAAGTTTTAGTTCTAATGTAGAACTTTCAGCGCAACGTGCATAAACGAAAACCCCATAATGAGCCTTATTCTAGTTGTCGAAGTAGAGCGACAATTGTCGTCACGACTTGAATTTGATATTCTAAATGGCGATTAAAGTGACACGTGTCGTGGAATAGCGGGAAAATGTGTTTCAGGTATATTCCAGTTGTCGTTGTAGAGCGACACATGTCGTAGTGAAACGACGTTTTTTGTCGAAAAGTATTTAACAAGTGACAAGCGAGATGAATACACCAAAAATGTAAGTTTAAACAAGACAATTTAATAAAAATATAAAAAGTAATAAATTTTGTAATTTAATACATAAATTAAACCATATAATATATGGTTTGAAAGTCTGTAATAGCTTATAAATCTGTGAATAAAATAAAATGTTTGTAACTAATGTATTTGAAAAAATTATTATCTTACACTCCATTTGGCAAATCCAATGGATTAGAGCTGTCCCTAATCTTAAATCTTTTGATCCTTAATTGTTGTTTTTTTTTCAATTTCATCACTCTCGGAGTCTGATGAATCCATAAACCATAATGCAAATGACGACATTTTTTATTTCCCTCGTATTTAAAAAAATAAATATATACACCGCATTTTTTTTTTTAGTTTGAACTTTACTCGCCAAAATTTCTTTTTAAAATGTATCAATTTCACTTCGTTTATTTCTCGCAGTCACGTCACTCGACAACTAGAATACCACATTTCAAATGATGTGACAACGACAACGACAAATGTCACGTAAGTGACGCGACAACTAGAATAAAGCTCAATATTAACGCCTCTTTAAATTTTTGTTTAAAGAGAACGTATACAATGATCATCCTTAACGTATGCAATTTTTGAAATACATTGACATATGAATTAAAGTAATTTTAGTGATGTAGTACATATTATCTAGATTATTTTTTAAAGCAGTATTTTCATTTGTTGAAGGAAAAGTGGTACTTTACAAACCATTAGTTTGACCCAATTTTATTTATTTGCCTCTTAACTAGTAAATATGACTTTTGGAATAATTCGAAAACCGTAATATGAAATAATATTTCACACCATTGCGAACATCATTTAACTTTTCATAGATATTCGAAAATCTCAAGTAGCAGGGGTGGAGAGTGTGTTTACTTTTACACTATTCTATTTTAAATTTTTTTTACAAATGAATTATATTCAATGGGATGATTTTTTTATTTTATGATGGATATCTATGATATGGAAAATAGAAAGCAATACATTTAAAAATCACGGTATGGGAAGAAGTCTTTAATTAATTTTTTATTTCATTAGACTCTTTTTCAGTACACTACTTCCCAATTGTACTCTATTTACATTTTAAAATAATACAAGAAAATGTGAAACAAAAATTATAGTACACTTATTAGATCGCACCAATCTGCAATTTAGAATCTGCATTACATTTTAGACAGACATCACATCAAGATGCTTATTTAATCTAAGTCGGTTATAAAATTCAACTTTTGAAATATGTTTTTTAAAATCTTTATAATCGAATTCAGTTATCTCTCCGTTTGCAAGTTGTTCCAACAGCGTTTCTTCAAAATCCTCCGTAAGTACACCAAAGAAATTGACAACAACTTTATAAAATTTCGTATTATTAGCTTTAATTTTTACACAAATTTGTTCTCCTACTCCCAAAATGTCATATAGTTTACCAGAAATAATTTTAATATTTTCTTCATTAGCTTCTGATGAAAGTGCTGCTTGTATTCCTACAATTGGGCAAATATTCATTTTAGTATTCTTTTCCTTTGGATAGCATACTTCAATAGTTGCATTTATTTTTTGAGTAGCATTGTGTTCAGAGAAAGTTTGAGATACACGGTTGACTAAAATGAAAAAAAATTTATTTTAAAAAACTTAAATAACTTTAAAAATAACTGAGAAAGGTTTCTGTAATAGAGTTTTCATGTGTCCTCTCGATTCAATTAATCGATGGTGGTATATTTTAAGTATTGTAAAAGCATATCCATTGACTAGATATTTTAAATTCATGCAGACAAACTTAAAATTCAATAAATTTGAATTCCACGCTCTCTATCACAAAAATCCTTCTTTATATCTCATCAGGTTTATCAGAGCGACGATTTGAACTAAACAGTGCAGAAAATTTTACCATATAAACTTACAATGTACTGATCCAAAATCATATATATTCGTCTGGGCTATTATTGTGGGTTTAATTTCTTCCATATTATCTGAATTACGTTGAAATGTTGGAACTAAAGAAATTTTTGAAATTCCTGATTCAACGAATTCTGGTGTCAAACATTGTTCACTATCATCATCTTCATTATCATCGACTTCATCATCAGCCTTATAATAGCCTCGATTTAATTTAGCACTATATTTTTCAAATGATTCTTCGGTCATTTCTTCATCTTGGTCTTCGTACTGATCAACATATTCCTTTTTATTATTACAGAAACCATTTTTACTATCACATTTTGAATTTTTTTCACAATAGCAATAAAAAATTGTTAGAGTAATAAAAAAAAATATTTGTAACACAGATACTTTCATGATTTTTTCGTTACTTTTTAGTGAATAGTTTAAAAAAGTGGTGTTGATTGTACCGTGCTCTAATTTGAACTAAAAGAAATATAAATTCTTTGCCTATAAATTCCTTGAAGAGAAGTAATCTAATCAATATTAAATCTGATAAAGTTGTACTAAATAAAAGATTGCATGTTTCGTGAAACTTTGCGTTAAAGTCATTAAGTTTCTAATACAAGTGTTTTAGTATTAACACAAGATACATTGGGGTCTGATAAACTCTATAACAGTATTTAATTTCTTTGAATTAAATGAATTTAATGAATTTCGAACTAACTTTTGTTTTTTTTAATCGTATTTGAATTCAATAAATCGCTTATGTTTTGCAATATGTATATTTGAAGTATTTTTTTTAACATTTTTACGATAATACACATTGGGGTCTGGTAGACCCCAGTCTTTGTAAATTGTTTCACGAAAATAAGTGTGAGAGTAGACTGTTAAGAAGTAATGACTCCTATTGTGCTAATATTCTATTTTTCAACGAAATTATCTGCAATCTCTTTTGAAAATCAGGCTTCATATAGAATGAGTCTTTACTTAAGGCAGCTATATTAAATAAAAAGGCAGCTAATTTTCATACTATTTAATATATTTTCTTGATGAAATTTTAAAATATATTGCAGAAAATATTGCGACTTGATTTACTATAACTTAAAGCTTCAAAGAAATAGCCAGGATTAAAGTTTTGTTAAGTAATTGAAACTGATTTAAGAAAAACAGTAGCAAAGATATTCTTTGTTTTATTCCCAAAAATAGTACGTGTGAATCGAAAATTCAGAAGAACCTAAGTATGTATACCAAATTTTTCGTAATATTTTTGTGGTGTAAATCTGGCAAGCCTACATGTGAAATGAGAAATTTTATTATCGAAAAGTTCTAACAAAAACCATATTCATAAATTACGATTATAAAATCGCCTTTAATATTAATCACAAACTTTTATTGTTTGAAAATATCTGATGTGGTCAGAATATAAACGAGTGCAATGGGAATTGCCTAGTTTAGTAAAAGTATAAAAATGCATTTTGAACACTTCCTTTCAATTTTAAGAAAGTTAGCAAGCTTTTCACTAACATACCTAGGAAAGTGTAAATGTGGCTCTTACTAAAATTTCGCTTTGTACCACTAGAGTTCCCTTAAAAGTTTAGCAGTCTGTTTTGGTAACAACCGGAACTCAAATATCAAATTTCAAGAAATTCCATCAATACATTCGGTAGATATGGTAAAAAAAATGTAAAATAAAATAAGTAAATGCCTCCAGTTCGTTCTCTGAGTTCTGATCTTTAAAGTAACTTATTTATGCTTTCCTACTATATAGAAGTGCATTCCCACCGAAAAGTCGACGTCCAAAATTTGGTGCGATCACTTAACCTCTCTTGTTGTATACAATGCGGTCAGTAAAAATTTATAAAAGTAAGTAGTTTATAAGATTATAACCTAGTAAGTAGTTATCAAACACATAAATTACTCATCGCAATGACGTGTCCGAGTATTTCACAACCCCATACTTTTATTTCAATACATTTGATATAAAATTCAATTTACGTTATTAAATTTAAAAAATACAAAGTTATTAAATTTTCTTTATAGATTTTGAAACAAATCTCAATGAAATTAAAGTTAAAATTTGATCTTTAATACCAGTATTGAACAAGGTTTTTGTAACTCTCTATATACTTTTGAAATTACTCTCTCTATAAATACTCTCTATATAAATCTTAAATTTAAAGATTTTAAACAATTTTAAAAACTTTCTGCTGAAAAATTAAATGTTATAAAAATGGATTCAAAAACCTGCGGAAACTCTCCAATTTTTCAACTTCGATCACCCAAGAAGCGTTTCTAAAATAGCTGAAATTTTTTCAAAACATTCTTTTATACCAAATCAATACAATATGCTCTTCTATATAATAGCCGCTGAGTTCTAAAACCAATCAGCTTCGACACTCTTATGACTGATTACTAATCGCATTTTATACATAGGGGTATAATAGTCGATGTTAGCAAATTTTGGATGTCAAGTTTTTGGTGGAAACGCACTTTTCCATAGTAGGCAAGCGTAAATAAATTACTTTAGAGAGATGACGGTCTTTGTGTGCAATCGTATATCTACTGAACTGAACAACTTTTGGTATATGTATATTAAACCTCGGGAATTGGACATTTTTGCTGGGCAATTTTACATTTTTGCGTATATAAAGAGAAATAATCAACCGATTTCCTTGAAATTTAATACATATTTAAATTCGGGGTTATAAAACAATGAATTTGTAAATTTTTTTGAATCTGAAAAGATCAGGTCCCGAAAACCGACCTGGGGGCCGATTTTACACTTTTTACCTTACATGCAGAAAGGATTAATGGAATTTCTTGAAATTTGATATTTGAGTTCTGGCTGTTACCGAAGCTAACTGTTGAACTTTTCAGGGAATTAAGATGACATAAACCGAATTTCTACTAAGAACCAAATTTACACTTTTCTAGGTATATCAACTAAAATCTTGCTAACTTCATTAAAATTGAAAGAAAGTGTGCAAAATTCATTTTCATAATCTTCTGTAACAATTTAAAAAAACTAGACAATTCACATTCTGGTCGATTATGTGCTGACCACATCATATGTTTTTTATCGCTTCATTTTTGAGTCCTAGTATCAACCGGTTCAACATTCAAAAAATGTCTCGAGCAATAAAGCTCAAAGACCACTTTTGAGTAACTTATGCTATTATTTTATTTTCTTACATAACTAAATTCGTCAACGTTCTAAAACGCAAAAGTTTGGGAAGGGTCGTTTGGAACAGAGGAGTACCCGATTTTAAAATCGTCTACCCTTCAGGAGGGTACTGTATAATCAATAAATATAAAAATATATATGACTTAAAATTAAATTTAACAAAATTATTTATTTTTCTAAAATTTTTTCAAATATAAAAAAAAATTCTTTGCCATCGTTTATTGTTTGAAATTATATTCGATTAAATCCGCAAGCATATCAAAATATGTTTGGGATTCTACAATGGATTTACGTTTTTCATATAAACGACGAGATATTGTACCTTGACGTACAGCTAATTGAAGAAGTGTTTCAATATATTCTGGTGTAAGAGCATGAAATCCAACAGCTATATCAAAAAAATTAGTATTTTTTGCTTCGACTTCAATACAAAACTGTTCTCCTTCTTGAAGAATTTTATTTAATTTCCCAGATATTAATTTAATATTTCCTTCGTTAGTTTCTCTTTCAAAAACTATATGTGCTGAAAATATAGGACAAGTTTTCTGTTTATAATTTTTTTTCTCTGGATAGCAGAAAGTAATTTGTCCATTAACTTTGTGTGTCGAATTATAAATAGACTGAGCACTCGATATGAGTCGATCTGCAAAATAAAAAAAGTAATTGTTAAAAAAATAATTAAATTAAAACAAAAATTGTTAAATGAAAATTTACTAAATTTGAACATTTTGAAATATTAATGCATATTTTCACAAATCTTTACAAGACCTAGCAAATATCTTACAAATTTTAATAATAAGTTTTTAAATGTCACCAAATATAACAGTATTATGAGAAACTGTCACCATATTAATATAAACATAATTAGATATCGTTTAAACTTTTTTTTTTAATTTTAATTAGTTGAAGTACACAATTACTTTACATATAATGAATCATGTAAATATGTATAGGTATAATATATACTTACAACGGTCTATATCACCGAATGTATACGCTCCGAATTGTGTAAAACGTTTGGCATCCTTAAAAAAATCAAATGATCGAACATAATCAGTTGGAGTAATAGAAACTTTTGAAATCCCAACTTTATTTAGATGGGATGGTGAACAATAATTTCCATTTTCATCAACATAATTATCATCATCATCTTCATCATCATCATCATCTTCCTCATCTTCGTCTTCGACAAAACCGTCAAAAAATCTTTCCTCATACTCTTGAAATAATTTCGTTTTATTTATTGATCTTTCAACATGTTCGTGTTCTTCATTCTTTTTACAATTGGCATTTGAAATTATTAAAGTAATTACAAAGCTAATTAATAGAATAAATTTTATTTTTAACATTTTTTAATTTTTTTTTTTGATTTTAAATTTATTTAATAATTAAAAATTGAAAAAAAAAATGCACGGTTACTCTCGTCTATAACAAACTTTCAATTGTGAACGTTATAAGGCAGCACCAAACAAAAAAGCAAAATTATTCCTTTGCTCTCCGCTCATTCACAGTGATGCCAACTTTTTTCGCTTACAAAGTGCTAAATTTGTCACGGACTAGTGCAAAAATGTGCTAAAAACTTTTCATTATTAAAAATAAATCACTTATACACAATGAAATTGTGTATAAGTGATTTATTTTTAATTTTCATTTCATGCACACTAAAAAATAAAAATATAAGTAAAGAAAAAACTTTTTTCTTTCAAATGAAAGTAGGAACGATTGACGACTAAGAGTGTTTTTGTTACTTCATTTCTTAAAAGTAAGAAGGGCAAAACTCAAGAATCTAAAAAGATTAAAAATACACATAAAGTTTTTAAAGTTTAAGACATGTGTTTGGATTGTTAAAATTTTCGATAGCAATAGCTGATTAGAATTGTTATTTATGAACGACTTTACTATTTCGTTCATCTCTTCATTGAAGGTTTCTTTTTACCGACAGCATTGTACTTTTTTTTTAGTTGTAATTATTAAGGGTTTAAATTTCATTCATTACATTTTGTTGGAAATTTGAATTGAAATTGGTTAAAATGTCAATAGAGGTAGTCAAAATTAAAAGTGAAGAATTAAAACTGCAATTTAATATATTTTTCAAAGAAATTTTTAAAATTAAAAAAATTCTTTGAAATTTTAGCAAAAATTTTAGGTTAAGTGCAAAAAAGTTCAATAACTAAAGTTAAATTTAGACTAAGTGCCAAATTGCATTTTATTGTAAATAATATTTTTCGGACGCATTTAAATATTGAAAAGTGCTAGAAAAAGCACTGAAAAGTGCTAAGTTGGCATCACTGTTCATTAATACAATAACAATATACATACAATAAAATTAAGATTATGATTCGAGTACAAAAATTAAAATATTGTTATTAAATTTTTTGAATTAAATGTAAGCTAATCTCAATTTCCATAAGACTTTAAAAAATCGGATAACGTTTATGATAATAAAATTTTTACCCTGTATGTTCTTTATATGAAGTAATAATTTAAATGTATTTATTAAAGCCACTTATGACCGGTATCACAGTAGAAGATACAATCAAATACATATTGTAGTAGCATGGAGTCCGTTGGTCATTGTAAAGGCTTACTTTCTCCAAATGAAATGATGAAGTGTTGTAATAATTTGATGAAACACGCCAATAACAAAGCATTGTGGCATATGGTCAATGTGTCAAAATTCTAAGTTCTCTTTTCACAATACTCATGTATTCACAAAAGTGTGACAGAATGGAGAAAGAAAAAAACCATCAACTTACTATCAGTTTTGACTTCAAGGCATTGATCACACATGTGATAAAATCTATGATTTAATCTGAATCTATGAAGAAAGTCATACATATTGTATACAATTTGTACAAATTGTCAATAATAATTTTCTTGACATTTAATTTATGACAAGAGTTTTGAACATGCATCAGCTGTTTTTGTGCAAAGTCATAAGATTTTGTCGTATATGTAAACGGCACGTAAATCTAATTTATACAAAAAATAGACTAAGTAAGTTAAATTATTTGAAAGAGAAAAAATTATTTGAATCCAATGGTTGCACACATAACAATTGAAAGCTTTTTCTACATAAACCTATTAAATTAATCTATTTTGCGATAAAAAAAATATAAAGAAAATAAAAAACTATTTTATTTTATTTCAAAATTGCTAAAAAATACTTTAAAAAACTCTTTATCTTCATTTTGATAAAAATATAATTGTATTTATAAAATATTTTTAAATGTGTTTTATATCAGTCTTGCATTAGACCAGGGAAAAATTCACACGATCTTAATTAACCAATTAATGACAGGTCTCCAGCATGGGTTTAAAGAACTTGCCCATAATTATACATTCAATTTTACAGCAATAAATTAATCACACTTTTGAATTTCGTAAATTATTCTATTTTTAATTCACAATTTCTACTTATTTGTTTTTATATAAATTATTTTTAATTTTTACTCTTTAATTCCGCTGCAATTTTTTTCTAGCATAAAAGTCCGTCGAAATAATAATTTATAATTTAATTTGAATACAAAATAAATCTTTCGATTCAATCAATTTATTTCAACTACGAGTTTAGTTTAGTGTTTTGGACATAACAGTAATATTGACACCACCTAACTGACATTATTCTGTTGTTATATTTTATGTTTCAATTGGATATCATAAGTATACATTGATGACTGCATTCATATTTCTAAATGTGTGATCCAATGCAGTACTAATATGCATTGGTGTACAGCTACACCTTAAAAAGAATAAAATCTATATTGCAAATTTATTTAATTTAAGTGCAAGATTAAAAGTGATAGATAAAGATATTGAAAGGGCTAAGAAATTAAAACAAATTTGAAAAACAAATCGATTAATAATTGAGTCACCGAGTGTGCAACAAATTACTGCAAATTTTAGTGTCGGCGAAAAATATGTAATTAATTTTCTTATTTTTTCCCTAACATTTTAGAACGCATTTTCAAAAACCGAAGACTCATTATAATAATCATCATTTTTATAGTCGTCATTCTCAACATATACATATGGTTAACTCCACAATCACCGCACTTGTCCGCCGTGCTCGTATCAATTAAAAATTTATTCCAATTTTGACTAAATAACACCTTCATTTCATTGTTTTCATTTGTATATCGATTTGTCCCTTTATTATAATGTCATTGATCGTGAATGTTTACAGCTTCATCATCAGTAATTTCTTATCATAATCATCAATTTCCATATTTTGGCAATAATCATTGTTAACTCCGCGTTCCACTTCAATATGCAGGGTGTTTTGCATAAGGTGGCAAATAATTTCAGGACCTTATGTGAAACACCCTGTATATGTAAGTATGTAATTTTAGAATCACAATAATTATAAGTAATATTTTGAAAAGTGGAATACGAGTGTACATTGTTTAAGGTTGATATATTTTCGCCTAATCGTGTATATCGCTCTTTCATCTCACTTTTCATTCACTTCTGAAACAGAATTCTCATTTTTCCAATAAGGTTGCTTATTTTTTCAATTAGACTCTTGCAGTTTTACTCAAATTGTCGACTGGTCCTCAAAAACAAAGTGAATTAAATTTTGTAAACATTTTAAAATAAACACGAGATGCGCAATATGGTAAAAATCTCACTCGAAAATTACAATATACAAATATATGATCATTCACTTTCTTCTCACTTGAAGAATATATCGAGATATACGATCGGTAGCCAATATTGTCAAAAATTTTAACGGTGTAACCAACATTCATTAATCAAAATCAATTTTGTTATTTTCTTTGTTTTGGAATACGTTATTTGTATAATATAAGTGTGTGTAGAGGTATTGAAACTGCTGCAATATTTTGATTTGTGCAAGCAATAAAATTGAGTAAATATTTTTAAGTTTATAATAATATCAAAATATTTTTTACCATGTATGTGTATGTATGCGTATGAAAACTAATATTTAATTTTTTAAAAAAATGGTTACCAACCATTTTTACACTGCTACGCTTTTATTTCAGAATACTACGGTGCACATTTAAAATTAAAATATATTACGTTATTATAATATAACCTTAACCTTACACCACACGTAATAGCTTACACATTTCAGACGAAGGCAAAGTTTTTTTTTTGAAAATGTTACAACACCTAGGTTATTAAGTACGAGTTCAAAACTTATTTAGCAATTGTACAAAAATTTCTTCAAAAACTTTTAATTTTAAATTGTAGGTACAGAAAAACATATGAGTACATGCAAATAAAAATTTAAAATTCCGAAACATTGTCCTCTTAAATAAACGACTCCATTTTCAAAACTTTGAAATCAATTGAATTTTCTGAAAATCGATTTTGCTAGGGTTCTGGCCGCAAAATAGGTCTTAAGAAATAGAAAACGATCAAATGGGCCAAACGGCCTCCATGATGAAAAGAAATATTTGTATGGTTTAGGTATGTCTAATTCAAACTAAACTAGAAAAAAAAATTATTTTCCTCTATTTAATCCACCAGAAAAACGTATTTTTTTATAAACATTTTTTTATTAAAATGTTTTTTGCAATTTTTAAACAATTAGACTTGAAATGTCTGAAGTTTTTAAAAATTTCCACAAACATTTATGACAAATTTCACGAATATGAATAATTAAGAATTATTTGTTCCAACGCAATCAGTTTTTGTAATGGTAGGACAAGGTCACGTATTAATGAAATTCCATGAAAATTGATCATTTATACTTTTTTAGAAATTTTGAAATTGTTTTCAAGAAGTGCCTTTCTTATCAGCAATTCTACATAAATTACCTACGATATACGTACATAGTTAAAACCAGTTAGATTTTTAATCAAAACAAAATTTGTAACTTGTATAGCCTTTTTCAATTATATTAAGCTTTCTGACGTTTAATTAGAAAGTTTGACTCAAAATTTTATAGTTATCTTGAGTCAATCAATCTAACTTATAGTTAGTTAGATTGAATAGAATAATATCAATAACAATTCAATTTTTCAGATAATTGGGAGATTTTATATGTAATTTATTGTTCCAACAATATAAAATATTAATATTAACAAATAAAATAATTCATTCCCTTATAAGGAATTGCTTTTCAATAATTGGCAATATTAAAATAATTTTTGATTATTCATTAAATTCAAATCCGGGGAATTCCATTATTAATTAAAGAACACTGGATATTTTAAAGTTCATATCTATGCATATACGTACACACATATGTAAAAGCATTGTGTTTAAATACAAAAGGTACTTTTTCCACCATACGAGCGAGTATTCGCAGAGTATTATAGATTGACTATTATTTTAACTAAATTTTCACAAATTTCCTTACAATATAATTACTTTATGATTTCTATTCAATACCAGACATCGATTCAAGTATAGCCATATTTTATATAATTTCAAAAATGATTTGATCATATTCCGAATACTGCAAATATTTCTATAAAATTTTGTTGTGGTTGTTTAATATTTTGCTACACGTATATTTGAGCTACACTGAACTCTGCATGGTCATGTTTAATGTCAAGTTTGGTTCCTGCCAAAATGTTTACAAAATAATAACTGGTTAAAAACATTTGTACAGGTGTGAAATGCCAAAACGGCATTTAATAGTTAATTATTTTCTGGTCCTGGTGAAATTTTTGATTTCTACAAGTACAATACAAATTTTGTTCTATAATCAAAACAACGTTTTGTAATTAACGTAAGTTATACGTTACGTAATCAGGTTTGTTGTATAATTTAATTAAATTTTTTATACTTTGGAAAAGTTTCAGTTCAATAAGGCTCAGATTTTGATATACTAATCCAAATTATTATTTAAAGGAAATATTCAATTAGCAATTTATTTCGCATAATAATAAACTTATCTGTAAATAATTTTCTATTGTCTTCAATTGGCTATATAATTTCTTTACATTTAAAATTTAATACAATAAATTAATATTAATATAAAAATAAATACATAACTAAAACTATTTATATTTTAAATTATATTATCTATACTATACCCAAGGGTTTAACTGATTAAATTCCCATATTTGAAATGGATTCCTATCATCACATTCTTCAAATATTAAATTATCGGATGGTACTTCTAATGTAAGACATTTATCAGTTCGTTGCTCGTAGAATTGCTTATCTTCAAAATCATAACGCCAAGCACCATTTACTTTACCAATTTGACAGAAATCTATATGCGGTGTATTATTGATAATTTCAATACAACGTTCACCATTTGATAATTGACCTTTAGTATTTAAACGAAAAAGTTGACTACCACCCATTTTATGACATTCTCTTACACCAATTTTACGTGGTAAATCACCATTTAAAATATCTAAACATAGTCCAGTTGATGCTGTTTTTATTTCACCCCAATATAAATTTTTTGGTGGATATGGATATTGGGTTAAAACATCTGATGCAATATTTTCCATATACCAATCAAAATTTTTACAATTCAAATTTGATTTTAATTCTATTTGAGATGATAAATCTCCAACATCAATAAATCTAGTTAATGGTTCTCTTGTATAAAAAAATTCTTTATATTTATCATCAAACCATACTTCTATAACACGTTTATAATTATATTGATCAATTGGTGCTACAATATTATCAGTTATATCTGCAAAACTATATCTGGCAGCTCTGTAAATATGACCAACTCTTGAGCATGGGACCCATTGAATACTACCACCACATTGCCATATTTTAAAACTTAATTCGAAATTTTCTCCACCCCATATTAACAATCCAGGATCATAAATTCCTAATTTAATAAAATATTGACGATTAATTGCAAATAAACCACCAGCATGTGTGGGACTATAATACGGTTCACTATAATGTTTTCGATTTTGTAATTCATATTTAGTTAAACCTTTCTCTTTATAAAACATTCCCCATTCAAAAATACCTTTTGGAAGAGCATCTTTACCATATACCGGTGTATATTCGAATGTATTAAAATCTATACCATCTACAAAAGGAACCGTCATTGTTCGATGATCTTTTACTATTGGAGTTAATAAAGGTGGTAACCAATTTACATTTACTTCACAGTGTGCATCTAAAAATGCTACAACTTCACCAGTTGCTTTCAGTACTCCATTAATTTTAGAACGTATTAAACCTTCACGTTTTTTATTTCTAAAAATTTTCACTTTATTATAATAAGTATCACCATAGATTTTATTTTCCAGTTCGTCTTTTAAATTTTCAATATCAGAAAAATCATCAATTAAAATGATTTCATGCAAAAGATGTTCTGGTGTCCGAAATATTACAGTATGAAATGTTCTCATTAAAACTGATAAGGCTTCATTATGGAATACAATTATTACACTTGTATTTGGTAATCTTTGTGGATAATGCCAATGTTGACATTCATCATTCCTTGTATCTGGTATCGATCGATTTAATGCAATTAAATCTGAAACTACTGAATTAATACCATATGTATCGATTGCATTTATAACTTGTTCTTCGTATTTTGTCGGATAATAAGCTGGTTTCCCTTTTTCACCTACTCCATCCTTCTCTACAATAGTTACGGGTTCATAATTCCCAAGACCTAAAAGAAAAAAGAAGATAAAGGTGAAGGTATGATATAATTGTTACGAGAACATATTTCGAAAATTTTAAATTATTTTAATATTTACTTTTGCCATTTTGCAAGTACTTTCTTAAGTTCCTAAAACAAGTTACTATTTACTAAATCGAAAGCTAGTATTAAAATTTTTTCTACAAGGTGAATTACAATTATTCAAAATCGAATTGGCTTCAATAATTTGCTTAAAAATATTGGCTTTTGTAGCAAACAGGTGCTACTAAATAGCAAATGATGAGACAAGATAGCCATTCTATAGGTCTTTGGAATCTCAAAAATTAAATTTTTAAAATTTTTAAAAAATTGAATTTCTAACGATTGAAGTAATCAAAGTAAACCAAAGGTCAAGTTAAAAACTTTTCCAAATTTCACTCAGAAGTATATTTTTTGCCCCAATTTTTACTTTAAATGTGATTCTTAGAAAAATTTTATCCTGGAAGTTAAATAATAAAGCTTAAGGTGATTATCAAAATGTAATCTAAATTGTAGATTGTTAATATTTGAGGGTTTAATAAAAATTTCAATTGACTATGACGCAAATGACTTTAAATAAAACCGAATATGTCAAATGTTTTGTTCGAAAATTTATGCCCTCTTTCAGGTTTTTGATATCAAACGTGTGTTTTTTTGTAATTATTCAATAAATTTGAGACAATTATAAAAAAAATATTATATTTAATTGTTTATTATTTTTATTTAATTATAAATATTTTTCAAAATAAATATTTAATTTTAATTAATTATTTTACCAGATTATTCAATGAATTTCAGTCAAATATACAATTAAAAACAATCTAAATTTGTTAAAAAAAAAAGAACAAAAAATCTATAAGTAAAGCAAAATTTAAATATCTTCATTCTTCGAATTACTCATGTATGAACGCAATGATCGGCATGTGTTCTAATACAAAAAAAAATCTAGACAAACATAAATAAAAAGTAATTTGTACAGGAAGAATTTGTATAACAAAATTGTTTAATAATGTATGACAAAAAAAATAATTTTTGAATCAATAAAAAAACCTGAGAAAACACGAATGGAAAAACGTCAGAATACAATTCGCCCCCTTAATAATTATTATTTCGCAAAAAAATTTTTTTCCTCGTTAAACATTTTAAAATAGCCTTTTATAGCTTGTGTAATTATGCCGTAAATTTTGAAAGGAAATGATTTGTCATTGTTTTGGTATTACAATATAGAATCATGTTTATCGGGCACCTCTAAAAGGCACACTGTGTCGCATATAAGAATTGACGTGAATTCAAATACTTTTTACTTACAATACTTTTCTAATTGAATATTGCATACTTTTGGGATGAAAACAGAAGAAAAATTTTAAGAAGTATCTTTTAACGGAAAAGCGTCAATCGATAAGGATTAGCTTCAATGGTCATTTTATGATTTTGCTGTCTGCCTACACATGGCAAATCACTGTCTTTTTGCGAAATCTAAAAAGTCTTTGTTGTTCCGACACGAATAATGAAAAAATTGAATTTTCACAGATTTACAAAGCTAGAATTCTTAAAGCTGAGAAGAGTAGGTAAAGCTTTTCTTCTACAAAATTTCTTACAAGAGTCCATTTGTTCATAAAATTTCAATTTTTCGTTTTGATGTGTGTAAAAATTTTAAAATTTTTGCCATTTTATTGAAAAAGTGCATTATTGAATCTTCGATTTCTTCCGCATTGAATATACTACCTCCATGAGATGGCGTGGCTAACAACAAAACTTATAAATTGGGTTCCTATTAATGTTTCAGTTTTTTTTTTAAATTTCCCATAAATTTAATAATTCTCTTAATTTCATTGGTCTAAATGTTTTTTTGCAAAAATTTATTTTGTAGCAATTTATTAAAATTTTAAGTTTTGATTTTTATAAAAAATAACCATTTAGGAAGTCTTATTAAAGATCTGCAACAGTTTCATGCAAAATAAATTTAAAATTCATATTTTTACACGTAACTTAGATGATTAAAAGAACAACGGTGTACCAAAATTAAAAATTTCTTATTGAAATTGAGAAAATTTTTATTTTCTCTTATTTGTTCAAGTGTTTAAACGAATAATTCACTGTATAAATAAGTAAATAACAATTCTATTGGCATATATATGTAAAATGTATGTATTTTCATGAAGAAAAAGAGCTGTTATATTACACAGACACATTTTTGTAATACAATTCTTTGGCAACTTCTTCGTTTGTGCTATATATTATACAGGGTGATTCTGTAATCAGTGACTTGACGTACACCATAATTTAGGATATCGAAAATGAATAAAATCTTCAATTCTTCCTGCCCAAGTTTATTTTGCTTACAACTTTCCTTCCGTAAAAGATAGAAGGTTTAAATAAACAGTTTTTGAAATGACTAGTATAGGGTTTGATCAGCATATTACTTGAATTTGTATTTTATGTACTTTCGGAATACCAGTTTTTCGAAGTTTGGGAAAAATCTAATTATTCCCTTCTTTTATTTTTTAAAACTTTGAATTTTTTTTTTACAGAATTTTGGCTACTTTCTCAAACTTTAATTTAAGGCATTAAGTGTTAAAAAATATTTTATACTAGCCTTATACTACCTCCTTGAAAAACTGTTTATTTGAAGCTTCTAGAGAAGTTATAAGCAAAAAAACTTGTGCAAGTAAAATTTTCGTGAAAATTCTTTAAAATCCTTGTACGAGTATCTCGAAAACCGTCGATATTTGACACCTAGTTCTTAACAAAAATTTTACTCATTTTTGATGTTCTAAATTATGGTATACGTTATGTTACTGGTTTACCTAACACTTAAACCAATTGACCTATTCGTACCTATAGAGTCCCAAAAACCACGCTATTAAATTATTTCAATTCCTCAACTATTAAATAAATTAAAAAATAAATAAACTCAAGTAATTTAAATAATTTTTAAATTTTAAATTTTATTCTTTATAATATTAATGGAATTATAGGAATTGAATGAAATATTTTCAAAATAAATTGGAAAAAATGTTTTCGTTTACAGTCTGTTACGCTCTATTCGTTTACGAGTCTTTTGTTTACAAAACGCATCTGTTTACATACTTTACGTTTTTTCAGATACCAAAAAAAAATTTATACACGATAAAAAGATCTTCGTATGAAACTTAATCTTCTTGAAATTTTTCGTAAATATTCCAAGTACTCTAGTTATCACTCCATTTTTGTTTTAAGACAAAAAAGAAACAAAATGACAACCATATTTCTCTCTGCCAAAGTAATGGTTTTCTCGCGTTAGTAAAACTTCACTTTTCGACTATGATTTTAGCAGCTATACAAAAATTTTTGAGTTTTGAAAAATTTTTCATTAAGCCAAAGGGATAATTCAACTATTTAGCTAGTGTATACTTCATTTAACTTTTTTTGGTCCCCTTCTCGACACATTCTATAAGCTTTCCTAGATAAAATTTGCCTTTTTGTAAAATTTCGATTTGATTTTACTCCGATCTTTTTTTATTTTTTTTATAACAATTGTTTTCGAAAACCGCTTTAAAATTGCAAGTTTCCCAAACACAAACATGACATTATTGTAAAATTAATTCATATTTTGGACCTTAAATTGAAGATGTTTTCATATTTTGAAACCTAAATATACTCTATATAAGCACTCACACTAAATAACTTGCAATTATTTTAAAATTGTTAGTAAAAAAATCACAAACATTTTCACTTTATTAATTTCTCATTATTAAATTTTTACCTTCAACTAATTTAATATCACTTCGATATTCTTGCCATTGTTCATATAAAACAGTTATATCATTCCTGAATTCTGGGCTTTGCCTGAACCGGCAAATAAAATATATTAAGCTAATTATTATGAACCAACCAACATATTTACAAAATCGTATTCTTCTAAATCGTAATTTAGCGTACATTATACGGAAGTTCTTTAATGCGAATGTTTAAAATTAAATTAATTATTGAAATTCGAAAATTATCCTCAAGTTCATCGATCTATAGGTTAACAGAAACTGAGCTGAATAAGAAAATTTTGTTTTTATTTAAAATTATTTTGATCGTATTAAAAAATTGGATAACTTATAAAATGATTGTTATTTCAGCAGTTTCCACTCTTTTTTTAATAATGTTTACCAATATTTCTTTCTCAGTTCTTGAATTCTATATGTGCTGGTAAATTTAGAATTTACAGTTAAATTTAAATAAATTATTATTTTACTTATTTATTTTTTCTTTATGTACATAAATGAAATATGAATAGGTTCCATTTAAAACTTAATTTTCGGAAAACTCCACTTTCCTTAAAAAAAACTATTACTTGGGCTTAAGTGAAGTTGGTTGGCAGGTTCGTTGAAATGACCGGTACAACAATGCCTCCGCAAGAAAATTAGCGCAGATATGTCACTTTATTACACCCAACTTGCCATCATCAACCCGTCATCGAAAAGAGGATTCTGGCCACACTTAAAGCCGAACACTCGCAGATATATTGAAAAATTGCTTTTAATTTTTTGCTTTTATAGAAATTCGATAGAACTTATAATATCAGGGAGGAATCAAATAATTCACATCTATTTGTGAATAGATAGACTTTAGGTTTCTATATTTTAATTTAACACATACATTTCTACTATAGATTATGTAAATATAGAAGTCCTTATGACGTTGAATTTATTATCCATTTACCAAGTTGATAAATTTCCAAATTTTATCAATCGGGGAATAATCAATAAATTTTTGATTCTGAATCGAAAAAAAGGGTAATATGCTAAAGAAAAAGATTCTGAAAGACAGTAACTTGTTTTCTAATATTTCCTGTCAAAATATATCAAACAAGAAATAATGTACTCACTCACCGATCGCATGATTATCAAAGATGTTTTTAATAATATAGAAACATTTGCGAATACTTAGTGCTTTCTTAAATACACGTGTTTTTCAATTTATATACCTATGTTTTAGTTTTCTATTAGTACATGCATATTTATGTACACATATGTTTTCAATTTGTATTTTGGGAAAACCAAATATTAGATATTATTAAATAATCTAAATCAGAAAAAAAAATTTAAATAAGGTAAGTAGTCCAATATATTACAAATATAAATTGAGTCCCACTGCTGGCTGATTTTTTTAAAGGTTTCCATCAATCAAAGATATTTTTGCTGTCATATTCTATAGAGAGTTAATCACATGGCTATTCGAAAATGGTAGATACCGGGTTGACGTCATTGCGAAATTCTTCTCAGTAAAATATCACCTGCGATGCTGGACAAACCGGGTTTTCTTTGGAAACCGGAATAATTGTTTCCTTGGTATTGGGAAACTTCTGCTTATGTCATATGGATTTCTTCATTTTCATACTTGAAAAAGAGATACTAAAAAAGAGCCGCATATTTCTTTACCCCTCTTCGATTTCTTTAAAAACTACAAACTTCCAATCAAAAAATTGTAATTTTTACTAGAATTAAAAGATTTTCATATACTCATATCAGTATTTCAATTCAAGGAATTTGCATAGGTTTGGCTGCAAGCTTTATCACTAGTTAACAAAATTCTAATGTTGTACATTTATCTTAACCTACCAACTACACATTAAAATCAAACCAATTAAAAATTAAATTATTATAGAAATTACTAAATGTATGCAATAATTAGAATACCTTTGCGCAAATTAATTAGAATGGCTTAAATATAGAAGATTATGGTCTAAAAAATAATTTTCGCTTGCTCAAGGAATTGTTCCTTCCTCAAAAAATATTCATCCTTCCACAATACATCCCTTAGTTTGGACCCGGATATACCTAAAAATTTCATTTGCTTTTGCTCGCTGACAGAGCTTCCATATAAAGCTTTTGTTCCTTGGCAACCTTATTACATACGATTCGGTTGGCAAAATTAATTTCTATTTACCTAATAATGATAATAAAAAATAAATTTATTTAAAAAATTACTAATTTTTAAATTAACTAGTTAAAAGACTGTCACCAGCACAAATCTGTCACCTTTGTTTTTATTTAGTCGTTTAAATTTAAAACAATTTCTTACGTTATTAACACTAACTCTTGCGTTAGAAATTTAAACGGAAAAAGAATTTTTGATTTGATTCTTCGTACGTCAGTACTTAAACAAATAGTTTATATATGTACAGTATGTACACACATATTTACAAAGTACATATTTGCGTATACAGATTAGAAAGTTATAGGTAATCCAATGAAAAACGGCTCCAGATATTTTAAATTTATATTTAGTTGCTACAATAAAAAAAAAGTAAATATTCTTAAATAATTTTGAGTTTTTTTTAAATATTTTTAATTTATATTGATATTGTTGCGAAATAATTGAAAAATACTGCCATTTTTAGACCATATAAGTTCTGAAAAAAAAATATGATGATAGTACATCATTTTAATTTCAAAAAATCTGATGTGATCAGCACTTAATCAACCGCAAGGTCTATTGTCTAGCAAAAATGTTGCACAAGATTATGAAAATGTTTTTTAAGCACTTCTTTCAAATTTTAAGCACACTAGGAAGCTCGAAGTTAACATATCAGAAAAACGTGCCATCCCACTTTATGCCATCCCAATCCAAAGAAAAGTTCGACACTTACTTCCGGTCCCAAAAAAAATCCAAATATAAAATTTCAAGAAATTCCGTCAATTAGTTCTTTAGTTATGGTAAAAAATATGAAATCGCGTCCCAGAGAAAGTTCAGTTTCCAAGGATATTACAAAACAAACTTTTAAGTTCATTGTTTTAATACCTAGGATTGAAATATCAAATTTCAAGAATATTGGTTGAAAATTCCTCTTTAAATGCCTAAAAATCCCAATTTGATGCATAGTAAGAGTTTAGTTACTGACTCCTAACTTCTTCCAAAAGTTATGTTCCCGAGGCCTGACATAATCCATAAAAGTTGATAAAACCGTTTTATCCTTAAATAGTTAACTCACATAAAAAGTTTCATTAAAATAGGTTCAACCGAACATAGTCGGAAAGACAGACAGAAAGACTAGCACCTCTCTAAAAGTTTATTTATGTTTTATTAGCATTTCCGCCGGAAACTCTATATGTGCAATTTGTAGTTCCGTCACATAACCTCTCTTATTGTATGCAATGCGGTATGACAATTGTATACTTAATGTGGAATGTAAATTTTCTAATGAACATAAAAAATTTCAATCGTAAAAAAATTGAAGTAAATTAATAAATAAAATTTGATCATAAACTATTAAATATCGATATAGTATTTTTTGATTATTGAACTAAAGAATTTTGAAATTTGAACATAAACCATGTTACTCGTAAGTTGGAGTTAAACTTTTTTCAATTTAAAATAACTTGTCTTGTATGTCTAATTTCTAGTATAAAATTCATGGATTTTCAAATCTTCCCATACAATCAAAAAAAGTAGGGCAAGTTCTCAGTCAATACCCTGGCGAATAATACGAAAAATAATTGTCACACAAATTCAAGGCACAAGGGAAAATTTGCTAATTTGGGTTAAATTTTTAATTTCTTAAGGGCCCCCATGTGAAAAAATACTTAAAAAATTGAAAAAAGACAAAATTAAAACAAAATGTACTGATTTTAAATTTTAGACCAATTATACCGACACACATTAAAAAGAATGTGTCCGAAAAAATAAAAGGCTACATCAATAAGTGCAATTGTGAAAAAAGTTTCATTTTTGAGAATTACATATGTAATATGTGTATTGTAAATTTAACAGGGGTGTCCCTTGAACATTTGCGACGTAATCGACAAATATATGTGTACACAATTGCTATCACTGTCTACAATTCTTCTAATTGTCACATTTGCTTAATAGTTTTCATTTAATTTGAAACTATTAGATTAACTTAAAATTGCATCAATTAAATATTTCTCCCCGAATTGAAAGAAACTCTCTAGTTCTTAAATATAACAAAAATAAATTCATAATATAAGAACTATGTTAGAAATTTACTGGCGAATCACAATTCAAATTTTCGAAAGATGCCTGAAAATTAAAGCGATAAACAAAAGTTAAGGCAATGAAAATGCAAATATTTCCAAAAAAAAAAACAATAAATGTATTTATTGTATTTTTCATTTATAAAATTATAAAATTAATAAAATTTTAATAATCGAAAAAAATTAATATTCGTATATTTATATAAAAACAAAAAATACAGAAGAGTTTAATTTTAAGTAATAGAATTGAATTTATTTTATAAAATCAATAATTAATATTTCACGTTTATTTTTTAATTATACAAATGTACCTATTTATTCTTTAATATTTTGTAGTTAATTTGGTGATAAGAAAAATATGACCAAAATTTCTTCTAATATTTATTTATTTTTTTTTCCCACAATTCATATGAATAATTTTAATAATTCATTATGAATTTTTTCACTCGTACAACGTACTACATTTAAATTACATAATGTTTTACAAAATTAACATTCTAAATTTAATAAAAATAATATTTTAAAATGTATTGTGTAAATGAATTTACTTTGTTTTTTATAGTATTTTGTTAATTTTAAATAAGTTTTGTAAAAGTTTTCACAAAAAGTTTAAAATTAAATAAATAAATAGCTATAGACAACCCATGTTAACCATTTTTATAAATTTAATTTAAAATATAGATTTGTATTTCTTCTCTTTTCCGAACCATTTTTTAATATAGTTTAAATATGAAATCTACAAAAAAAATATTCAAGGATATTTTTATTTTAAGTAGACAAGGCTTTCGAAAACACTATTTATGTCTAATTATGCACAACCAATAATATGAAAATTAATACTATTGAAAAATTAAAATAATTTGAAAATTAGGGTGTTTTTGTATAATTCAATTCTATTGTAGTACTTAATATGCAGTAAATTCGATAATTAAATACTACATGATGAAGTGCCAAAGAAGTATTTTTGAATATACAGCAATGTTTTTAAAGTATTTGGCAAAACTATAACTGCAAACTAAAACATTAAACAATTTATCACAAATACGCAGTTTTCGCAGTTTCAATTTAACCGCTGCAAATAAAAAAAGATAAAATATCGGAAGCTTTAGAATAATTATTAGAGTAAGGTTATTTAAATTTAAATTTTTTATTAAAATAATAACAAAATTTAAAAGAAACTTACTATAATAAATGCTGTAAAAACGAGTTTAATTTTTTTTTAAGTATATCTTAAAAATCTTAACATGAAGTTGTAATTATAAAACAAACTGCAAAAATAATGCCGCATTATCAAGCACATTTTTTTGACAACACGTGCAGTACATTATTGTCAAACATAGAACGCATTTAGTACTATAGAACTGAATTATCAAAAACGCAATACGTTTTGTATTTTAAATTTTTATTTACTTAATATATACTCTAAATTCTATAGAAAATGGACATGACATTAAATATGTATGTAATCAAACTCGCAAAATTGCATGTTCAGATATTTTATTGATCTAATTAAGATATTTGAATTTTCATTATAGTGCCAAATGTGATATTCAAAAATTTTTATTTACTACTTTCCTTTAATTTTCTTTTCACATTCATAGTTATTTTTTTTTTTTTACTAAAAATATCCTTTTTAAATAGAATCCTTTGTAGATTCAAAAATGTCCTTTTTTAATATTCTGCTTATTAAAATTTTTTTTTTACATAATATGGAAATTTTCTTCGACACAATAAAATAATTTTTAAATCAAAATTATTATTTATTAATCACAAATTAATAAAGGTTTAAAAAACTATTCTGTTTTTGGCAAGGACATATATATACGAACATATATAATAATTAATTTTTTCAACAACTTCATCTGTCATTGCTATTGGTATTTCCTTTTTAAGTAAGAAAAGATTAACTGGATTGAAAATTAAAAAGTAAGTTAAAAAAAAAAAAATATCAGTCAAAAATACTAGTAATCACATTTAAAAAAAATTACTGGCTTTTAAAAATTAATAATAGCATTATAATTATAGTAATTGGAATGTAGGTACTAGATGAAAAAGTTTCCGATTTAAAAATATTCAAAATAAAAAAATTTTTATTAAATTATTGTTAGTAATGTTAGTTAGTACATACAATATTGATACTGGTAAAAGCAAATTATTACAATAAATTTTAAATAAAATTATTTAAAATATCTTCAATAATATTTTTAATTATATTAAATTACTACTGTTAAAATGTAGCGACTTAATATCTAAAATATTTATAAAAAACTAAAAAAAAAAAACAGAAAATATGAAATTCTTATGTCTTTTGTAGTTACAAAAATAATATCAATTTTTTCTTATAAAATGCACAAAATTTAATTTTTTTTGTTGTTTTGTTTTAATAATCCTTAATTTTTTATTTCTTCCTTTTAAATAACAAAATTTTATTTTTTATTTAAAAAGTTCTTAATTTAAAAAAAAAATACTTGTTTTTTGTTCGATTTTAATAAATTTAAAAATATAAAAAAGTTTGGTTTTCTTAAAATTTATAAATTTACTTACTAAATATTAATAAACAATAATTTAAATTTAATATGGAACACGTACATTTTCATTTATAAAATATGCATATTTAAAAAGTGGAATGTTTTTATTATTTAAATGTCGCGATTAAATTAAAAAAAACCGCGGCATTTAATTTTTCAATTACATCCTGTAAATGTTTTTTTTACAAAAAAATTTTTTATAACATTCTAAAATACAATTATTTATTATTTAAATCGAAAATTTCAAAAAATTTTTATTACAATAATTTAATAGCAATTAATATAAAACAAATCGACAATTTTAATTTTAAATATAATAAAATATAAAGATATAAAAGTTAAAAATGTTTTAAAATAAAAAAGTAATTCTAAAATAATTCATTCAATTTTAAATTAATTCACGAATTTTTAACAGAAAAAATTTTTTTAAAAAAGTTTGTGATGTGATATCAGATTATTAATTTTATTTACTTTCGCTCTATTATAGAAAATAAAAAATGTAAATGCCTGCCGTACAGACTAAGAATTAATGAAATTCATTTTTGCACTCATTTTGCGATATCAGATATATAATTTGAATTCAGAAAAATAGTCGAACTGATTATCTGACTTCACAAAATGTTGTAGAGATTTGCAAGATGCATTGTCACAATAAGAGTTCTTTTTTTTACACAACTTCCATATTTTCCTACGCCTACGTAAAACTGGCAATATAATGAGTATAACGTTACTATAAGGAGAAACCTTGTTTTGAATAACATTTTTTAAAATTTTTTTCTGTAACAATAATTTTCTTTTAAATAAATTAATTCATTCCTCAAAATAATATAAAAATGTTTGCATTTATGCGATGCACTTAAAATTTGAATATGATAAAAATTTAATTTTTCCAACAATATTTTGGACTTTAACAACTTTTATCTGTTAAACTTCATAAATTTAATAAAATATGCATACCTATATAGTATGCACATAATTATATACAGACATTAATAATGATAACATTATATTTTAAAACTGGAAAAAAAAATTTTTGTCTTTTTCTAATAATCGAAAATAATCTATTGAAAATAATGGTAATTAGAATATCATTCACAAATAATAAATAACATACACGATTGCACCAAACGCGTAAAATGTTTCAACTAAAAAAAAATACAAAATAATATTATAATTAAGAAAAAAATAGGCAAAAATTTAATGACCAAAATAAATTAGTTATGATCGAAGTTCATTCGGAAACGATTAGTTTTACAATTAATTCTAATTACGTTAAAATATAAATATGTTATATTTATATTTTCGAGTAAAATTTTATAAACTCATGTATAGCAGATTGATAGCAATCAGTATATTATAGCAAAAGGATTTATTCGCTAAATGTTTTTTTTTTTTTTTTTGCATAATGGCAGTAATTTTTTTTTATCAAAGTAAACTGTAATAATAAAATTTCTTCTACTTTGACATAACTTACTGCCTCATTTGCTACATTTTTTATTGAATTCGAGCAAGAAACCTAACAAATTTGCCATACGCAATGTTAAACAGTGTCACATTTGCTAGATTTCTTGTCGATTTCACCATACCTATAGGTCTATTAATATGCATACATGAAATTTAAATTATAAAAATAAAGTTGTAACAGAACGAATTGCTGAAAAATAACTTAACTATTACAATTTTATTTATACAAATATGGAATTAATTACTTTAATCACAAAAATTTTTAATAATAGAAAAAGAAGTTTCTAAACGTTTTCCTAATTCATTATGTGCTTCTTACGATTTTAGATAGTTTGTTAATCAAACGCTATTGAGTGATGACTTTCATATTGAAAACTATTTTTTTATAATAATTAGGCCAGTTTAATAAATAATTTATTTATAATTCTCAGTAAAATCACATATAAAAAAAATTAGTATAAAATTTAAAATATGTGTTAAGTAATCCAGAAATTTTCTCACCGTATTTAAGAGGAACTGAATTTATAAAAAACAAGAAAAAAATTAAGAAACATAAAAAAAATTTACATAGCTACAAAAGAAGTAAGACAATACACCAACTTTTTAATACGATTTTATATTATATACTGGATACTTTTACTTTTTTTAAATACATACATACAAAATTAATATTAATGATATTACGTTATGCGCATTTCAAAAATATATTGAACCTCTTAGGTTCAAGTTGTGACAATAATCAATTTTACAGCATAAAATGGTCATTAATATTAATATTTAATATAAAAGACATCGATTTACAAATTAAAATATAAATAAGTTAAAAAATTGTTTTCGTAATTAATTAGTTGAAATTAGTGGAAATTCATTATTCACAAATCATCACAATTTTTTTTTTTCGAAAAATTTGAAATTTTTCTATAAAGTTTTTATACGTTTTATTATAATTTCTTATTTTCTATCATTTCTATATTATTTTGTTCGAAATTAAAAAAAAAGTCTTACAAATCTAAAGAATGTTTGATTGCTTTAACAATTATTTCACTATTAATTTTTTTTTGCCACTCAATGTAATTTTCTTTCCTTTATCTCACTCAAGTAATTCGTTCATTTTTGCTTTATATATATATATATATATATATATATATTTATACAATAATATTTTATCGATTCTAATAATAAATTTTACTTAATAGTTAATCAGTTTTTATTCATATTTTCTTTTCTAATTTGTGTATTATTCTTAACGCTTGTTTTCCTTTTACTTAACAAATATTACTCTAAAATATTTTTATTTTATATATTTATATAATTTTATAACTATTATCTATTAAATATTTTTAATTATGTATATAATTTATAAAGAATTTTCTTAAAAGTTCAATATGGTCTTTCGTTTTTCATTTTTTTCCTTTCCTATTATCTTACTGTTTTTATTTTGCAAGTAGTTCTATGGATATTTAATTAGATTAAAGTTCCATTGTTGGTACGCATTATTAATATCACAATGTGCTAATGATAATTGCTTTGAGACAGGATGTAAGGCCATACATTTTTGATGAACACGATGCAATAAATGTTTAGATTTCTCATTATATTGCCATGGGCCATCAACAGTGCCTAAACGACAATATGCTAATTTAACACCCTGTCTATCAGCTTCAACGCAACGCTCTCCTATACCTAATTGTCCAGCAGCATTTAATCTTACTAGTTGATTCATACCAAAACCATGACAATGTTGTAAACCCATAATCGATGGCGGTTCATGTCCCATAGCATCTAAGCATGTATCAGCCGCAACAGAACGCAATTCACCCCAGTACATGTTAGCTGGCAATGCTGGGAATTTATCAAATACATCATAAGCAACATTATCCATATACCATTGAAAACTTTTACAATTTAATTTTTTCTTTAACTCTAATTGTTCTGAGATATCGCCCATGTCTAAATAACGTGCTAGCGGTTCCCTTGTATAAAAGTATTCTTTATATTTATCATCAAACCATGTTTCAATAACACGTTTATAATTAATTGTTATAAGAGAACCTTTCTTCTTTGATGCTAGTTTTCCAAAATTATAGGGCATAAAAGCGCGATAAACATGACCAACTCTTGAACATGGTACCCATTCTATACTACCACCACATTGCCATATTTTAAAACTAAGTTCAAAATTTTCACCACCCCAAACTAATAATCCGGGATCATAAGCACCTAACTCCAAGAAGTAATTTCTATTTATAGCAAACAAACCGCCAGCATGTGTTGGACTTCGATATGGCTCACTATTATGTTTACGTCTTCTTTGTTCTTTCCTTGGAACTTCATTTTCTTTATACAACATACCCCATTCAAAAATACCACGATAATGATGGCCATCCCTATAAACTGGGCGATATTCGAAATTTTTATGATCAATCCCATCAATTATTGGTACGGTCATTGTTGTGCGATCACGATAAATTGGCGCTAATAATGGCGGGAGCCAATTAGTATTTACTTCACAATGTGCATCTAAAAATACAATAACTTCACCAGTCGCTTCTTTTGCACCTCTTGATCGAGTTCTAATTAAACCTTCACGTTCTTTATTTCTAATTATTTTAACTTTACCATCAAACTTTTGAACATAATTGTCCAACTTTTCTTTTAGATCCGCTTTATCAGAGAAATCATCAACTAAAAGAATTTCATGCAAAACATGTTTTGGAGAACGATTGATAACAGAATGAACAGTCCTTAAAAGTACAGAAAAACCCTCATTATGAAAAACAATAATTACACTGGTTTTTGGTAAATCATATGGATAATCCCAATGTTTACATTCTTCTAATCTTGTATCTTGCACAGATCGATCAAGTGAAATTTCATCCGAGCACGCTATATTCATTCCATATTCCATTTCAGTTGAATCAGCTAAATATTTTTTCGAAGGTGGTAAATTATGCGCTGTACCATTTTCTCCAGGTCCTTCTCTCATTTCAGGATTTTTTGGCTCAAAATTTCCTAAGCCTAAAATAAAACCAAAAAAATTAATAAACTAGTTTTTGTTGAAAATGACCAAATATTTAAATTTTTAAATATTTAGACATATGTATGTAACGTATGTATATTTAATAAAACCTAGTAAGAAGTTATGCCACCTTATAATTGAAAATTTGGAAAACCACTTTTAAATTTCGTCGAAGGCATAAATAAAAAATAGGAAATTGCTCACGCTCCTAATTCGTTAAATTAGTTTCAACTAATTATCTAGGTATACTTATACAGGTAGATGCATAAGTAAGTACCTGACAACCTATTAATTTTCTTTCATCCTCGAATGATGTATAGAATTTTATACAATTTAATCTTCTGTTAATATCAAATTTGAAAGTTTGAATATCTACAAGAAAATATTTTTTCATATATTTTATTTACACAAGAAATTTATTTTGAGTTCATTGAACACTATGATCACTTAATTTTCTCCATCTAATTTGTGAACATTTACACAAAGAATTCAATTCTACTAACATGTTTCTCTTAATGTAAGCTTATTTTCAATGAATGCAAATTTGATTAATTTTTTAGGCAAATAAAATCGTTAGCTGTTTTAACACTAGCAACATCAACTAAGTAACGAAATTGAGTCAAATAGAAATGGTTGAATTTGTCATATTTTAAACTTTTAAAGATCATTTTTCATCTGTAGTAAAATTACTATCAATTAATCAACAAAAACATTGATTTTTTTGCCTAAATATTAAGTTTCTTTTATATGATACCTGGTCACTAATACTTTATTTTTTTGTATATCAATTATTATCAGATAACTCAAAGCAATTATCTGTGATTTTGCTTTTACACGATTTTTAGAATAATAATAAAAACATGCTTATTTATACTTTGGTAAACTACCTAAGTAGCTGTTTCTGGTAGTTAGGTACATTAAATGACAAATTAAACAATTAAATAGGCTGTTAAGTACATATACACCAATTTTTTGTAAATCGAAATGTACCGGAGGAAAAAAATTATAACAGTTCCTGAAAATTATTTTTACCAAAATTTAAGTTTAACAAAATAATTAATGTTGACACGTATTTAAAAATATGCCGGGAAACTCTTGTATAGCCATATTACTTATTTTTTTTTTTTTTGAAGCACATATACAGCTACCTTAACAAAAATCCCTATCTATATTTAACGAATTTTTTTACATGCTTGCATAATTTATTGAAAAATAACTTTGTCTAATTTTCAAAATTACCTACGTAAGTTCATACCGAAACCTTCCAATTTTATTAATTTATCTACCACGTAGTTAATTAAATTTGTTATCTTTACCATTGGAATTCTATATATCATTGTAAAAATCGCTTTTGTACGGTACTAAATATTAAATTTGTTTATTGTTAGACATGTAAATAATACAATACCTTGAAGAAGTCTTGGAACTTCTTTACGCAGCTTTAAATGCTGTACATTTAAACGTTTTCTGTGTTCGGAATCCAGTCTATTTGAATCAGACCAATTTGATAATAAATAAAGCAATGGTAGTATTACAAGTAAGCACACTCCGTATCGAATAAGCCGTCCCCTTCTTATTGTAACCGGACCCATTTTCTTTTATTTTAGCCAACTCCGGATTAATTAAATTTCAATCAACTAAATCAACTTTTCACTGCACTATTCAAATATTTTATAAAAATCATTAAAATTTCGAATAATAAATATTTTCGCTGTTTCTATTGTAAAATTTTGCTTTGGAATCAGACTTTGTTCTGTTGATTTTAAGTTAATTTAACTAAAGTCCTTTATTAAATAAAAAGAAAAAAACTTGTTTTTTCAACTAAATCTAAGTGCTTTCCATTATTGTCGACGCAAGCAAACAAAATTCTTGACAAGTATGTATATTTTTTTTTTTTTGTTGATGGTATGTATTTGTTGTATTTATTTCGGCACTTATGTCAAAAAAGTGTTGCCAAAAACGATTCTCGATAATTAATAATTTTTCAGGATGCCAAATTTTTCCAGTGCTTTCATATCACGAAAATAATGTTCATGTATTTTACTGTTTCAGAATTATTAATATTCATAGAGGGAAGACATGCGTTTTTGTATTGGGGTGTTGTATGACTACAAATTTGTTAATTTATGGGCCTGATCATGTATCTCGTTGGTTTACCGGTTTACTCGAAAAGTGAGAAGAAAGTGACTAACTATCATATACTTGCATTTAATGCAATTTTCGAGTGAGAAGAAGTATTTGGTATTGCGCATCTCGTTTTGTTCTAAAATTCATAAAAAATTTATTCACTTTGTTTTTGAAAGTGAAATGTTCAGTCGATATCATTTGAGAAAAAATACAAAAATTCAATTGAAAAAATGAGTAATCTTATTGGAAAAGTGAAAAATCCATTAGAAAATATTGAGAATTCTGATTTGAAAGTGAATAAAAAGAGAGATACATGATCAAATAGTATATTTCAAAATGTAACATTGCTATTATGTTGCAAGTGAAACCTATACCAAGCATTTGCATAAAATAAAATTTTACGAGAGATGAAAAAAACATTAAATTTTAAGCAATAAAAAATATTCATTGTCTTTTTTGAAGTTTAAAAATTTATTTGAAAATTTCAAGTCAAGTCGAATTAAAAAATTATTAGCTTGGTTTTAAAATCGACTGCATACGAGTATAACTCTGATCGAAAGAACGAAAATGACATGGCAATATTATATTGCTTGCCCTTTAATGTCAAACTTTAGCCGATTTCCACTATTTTTATTTCAATACAAATCTCGATCTACCATATAAACGAAATAATATTATCATAAAGAACTTTAATTTTTCATTTTTGCGTTAGTATACATAATATATTATAAAGATATTGTACATGAGCTTTCACACATACCAACTCAAAATTGAAGCTGAGTTTCGCCATACATAATATGTTGTGTAAATGAGGTAATAGTTGAGGAACTCTTTCTGTCAACTTTATTTTGGCATCTAATTTTGATTTTCAATTTTGTAACCACCAACACATAATAGACACACGTAGGTGTCTGATATAAGAAAGTTTGTAAAAAATTTATAAAATTTGAAAAAAATTATTCAAAGTTCTAGTATGCTTATGTTATATAATACCCTTTGCGAAAAAATGAGACTTCGTTTTCTTAATGTTTAACGTTTTTTCCAGTTGTGTAAAGTAAAACTTAGTATTTTAAAAACTTTTAACTGTCAAAACTAATGTGTATTCTTTATGTACGTACTGTTTATGTTGGATAAAATATTTTGAAATCTGGCGTTGTCGTCTTGATGTATGTTGAAATTACGTATTTCAACATACGTAAAGTTTTTAAAAGTTTTTTCAAACTTTACCGTCTGGTTTATTTTTTTTTTAAATTTTTAAATCACAATTTTGCTTTCTTCGCGATTAGTGGCGCCACTGTCTTCTCTTTTTAAAATTTTTCAAATTTTATAACAGAAATTTTCTAATAACCACGAAAATTACGTTAATTTTGAAATTTTGCAACGCTCTTTTAGTTAGACGCCAGAATATAAAAAAATTAGAAGTTATATAATATTTTGTTTATTGAGTTCTGAGTAATCACTATTATTTTTTCTGTTAAATTTTATCAGAATTTTTCCAAATGTAGGGAAAAATTTTGGAATTTCGAAAATGAACAAAAATAAGACCAATTATTAAAAAAAAATGTTAAGAAAAATTTCATTTAAGTGGTATTCGCCTTAACATTACAGAGAAGTAGAAAATTACAAATTAAGCAAATCAATTAATATTGCGATTATATTTTTTATATTAAATTTCATTTCCACATTGCTAATTTTGCGATAGTACAAAGTCTTTTAGTATTCTGTTCTTTATTTATAATTTATTTATAATTAATTAATATGTAGTGTTTTTAATTAGAAAATTTTGTTTTTTTTAATTATTTTTTGTTTAATTAAACTATATTTGGTTAAGTGTTTTAAAATTTACTTTTTGACAAAATGTGAATTTAAAAACTTTTGTTAAGGGTAAACTTAAAAATTTTAATGCATAATAATAGTTAGAGTCAAATCATAAACATCATAAACAGAACGGCGAAATACGGTAACTATTTTTCAAAAAAAACAAATATCTTTTTTTCGAAGTTTGTGAAGGAGCAATCGATATGATTTTGATTTGCGAAAGAGTGATTTTAGTTCAATTTTCATCCTTCTGTATCGCCGCCTTGGTATGTCCTTTTGATCAAATCATGGGGCTCCCCATGGGGTAATAGAGATCGTGCAATGGACAATTGACGGTTAACAAACAACACCGGTTCATTTTATGAACAACTGTTTTTCATTAGAGAATGATTTGAACGGATTTGACTCATATCACAATAAAGGCTTGAAACCAAACTTTGATTTAGGTTCTGAGATTGATTTTTTTTTTCTGATTTACTCGTATTCTTAATGGCATATACTGTACACTTGATCTATAGTCTAATAATTAGATTAAAAAAATAGAAAAATCTCCTAAAATCTGTATGAACTTTAATAACGCAATAAATAATGCAATTTTATGTAGATTATACTTGACCTAAAAAAAGCATCAGTTCATGTAAAAGCTATATATGTAAGTCAATTGATCTGATTCTTGGAGCAACTGACTATACATACCACAAAAACATGTATGAATAAAATATATTATTAAGATCCTTAAAAACTTATTTATAATTGATTAAAAGTGTTTTTTATTTAAAAATTTTTTGTTTTTCCTTATATTTTTTATTTAATTAAATTATATTTAATTAAGTGTTTCAAAAATTATATTTTTTTTTTAATTTGCACAGAATGTGAACTTGAAACTCTTGTTACGACAATAGTTAGATATTTCTTGCATAATGCTAAAAATTAGAGTATTTCAGGAAAATAATAAGATAACCCTTGTGTAAGTCAGTAAACATAGTCTGTTCGTACCATTTTATAGTTTGAAACTGTGAAACACAGTTATCATATTTCAAAAGGCGAAATTCCTAATCCGATTATACTCAAAGATATACTTTACCAAAAAAATTTGCGAAAAATGTCGACGCTATAGACGGTCATATCAGTTGAATTAAGTGTTAAGTAATTCACAATAATAAGTAAGTAAAATCCAACAGACTTAATATAACCTCGAAAATTAATTTGTTTTTTAATACTCTATAAAAAGAAAGCTAACTCATGCAATATAGACAACTCAATACTTAATATGTGGACTCTACTAAACCCAAATAAGAATCTTAAAGTGATTTTAGTAAATGAAGTTTAATCTGCAAAATTGATCTTAACTTTTGGCTCCTATTTGTTGTTTTTTTCTTAAAATCCCATTTTTAATATTGCTTTTATTAAGGAAAACCTAAATAATAAGATTATCGTTAGTCTAGATTTGGACATTACAATCTATGAAATTTTCTTAACCACTATAAAAATTCTAATTCACTGACATTAATTAATTAGTTTCAATATATTTAATAAAAAATTAAATTTTAATTTGATAAAGGATAACAAAACTTAATATGAAGATTATGAAACAAAAATATCTGCTGAAATTCGCAATTCTGTCTATAAAAGTACATGAATTGTATTTCTAAAATTTATTTTGACAACTGCTTTATAATTCAATTATTGTTTAATTTATTTCTATAAATATTTAAAAATTTCTAAAACATGCGCTGTTATTTTGTATTGGTTCAGTTTGAAGAAATTAATTATTTTAAAAAAATTTACCATTTTAGTTATGTGATTTAAAAATATCCAAGGTTTTACCCATACAAAATACGTACATATAAGAGCACCTAATATATTTGTTTTAAGCACCTGTTCTATTCTGCGAAATAAAAGTTGAGAAAGGTCTTACAAAATTTTCAATTTTATTGCATTAGTTTATGGAAACAAATATTGTTTTTAATTTGTACATTAAAATCTGAATATTTATTTTCTGATGCAAATGAAAGCAAATTGAATTATCACACACATCACATACATCTCTGTCACATACGAATTCTTAAAAATAAATTTTGGCTTTTTGTTTACTACAATGTAGCTATGTGACTCCAATTATTTCACCTGTATTATAATTATATCCTGCACTTTCGTGAATATTAACTTTGGTTTGGACAACTACAAGAGGTAGTCTGTGGCGTGCACGCATACATACATATATACATAACGTATCATATTCCTCAGAATAAATTCATGCGTTGATTAGACATGTCGGATCGGACACGATAACTCAGAAACGAATAATACAAATACGACCAAACTTGCACAAGTTGCTTCTATTGTGCCAAGGACGGATCCTACTATATTGAACCGATTCAGAAAATGTGTTCGGATAGCTCCAATACAACCTTAAAAGCCAATATTAAGTATTGGAAAATTAATAAAGCTAGCTGCATGAAATTGAACATTCGCGTGTCCAATAACAGTCCAGATATGTATGTCCTCGAAATTTTTATGGAATAGCTTGACTGGTTCGGGTAGCTGCCATATAACTCCAAAAGCTTAGCTTAAATATTTAGAAAAATAATAAAGTTATAAGAATGGCGAGCGTATTACGAAATTCGTTCAGCGTGAAATTTTAATATTATACTTCGAATAGTTTATGAGATGGTTTTTTTGAATGCTTATTAAATTTATACAAATTATATTTTTTTTGAGAAACTAATAAAAAAGAATTACTTAATACAAATCTGTCCAGTCCGTAATCAATTATTCATTGCTAGCATCACATACAAATAATTAAACAAATAAATAGATCTAAGTACCTTCGCCTGATTATATAATTTTATATAAATTTCATCAGTTTGTCTTTATTTGCAAAATTTAAAACATTTTTTTATACTATTTTGTATTTACGCAACTGCTTCTTAATGATTCTTTCAGACCCTGGTCGACTATATAAATTCCATCTCAATTAAACGAGCTTCACTTTCAGAAAGATTTTTGAAAATTTTATACGCATTTGAAAAAAAAAAAAATACAAAAAACTTTAATCAAAATGTTCAGTAAAATTGTAAGCATTCTACAAGAATACTAAAATTACTTGGTACTCGTATTTTATTTTGAATTTTTATTTCTTAGAATATTTTATTCTTCATCGCTTTTGCCGTTATTGCTGTATATCCAGTAGCCGGCGGTTTATTTGGAGGATTAGCTGGTGGTCTTCTTAATGCTGTTCCACCAGTACTCGATGCAGCTGAAGGATTAGTCGATAATGTTGTAGACGCAGTACCTCCAGTACTTGATGCCGTAGATGGTGTAGTTGAAGGAGTTGTTAACGCAGTACCCCCTGTACTCGGTGCCGTTAACGGTGCAGCTAACCATGTTCTTGATGCTGCAGGAGATGTTGCTGGTGCAGCAGATGGCGTACTCTCACTTGCTCTCGGCGCAGCTGGAAATTTTGGATTTTAAAAGAAAAAACTATTGAAATTGTCTGTTGAATTTTTGTTAATTTTAAACACGAAAAAAAATTTTCTGGCTATAATACTTGCATTTTAAAATCATACTGAAAATATTTTCGTTCAATAACAATTGGAATTGTTATTTCTTGCTACACCATATTAACTGATAGGTTGTAACAAGAAATTGACTTAAAAGATAATAAAATGGCGATACAGCTAGATTTCATTATGACTTTAAGAAGCACTCTTAAGGAAGAAATTTTCTACCATAACTGAATATTATATGAAGTTATTAAAAAATATTAAGTCATATATGTAACATACATATGTACATATGATATATCCTTTTTACAAGAATATTGCACTCCAAACTACTCCGGACTAGTTGCGATTGTTATGTAAATAAAACGCTATTTTTAATAGCGTAAATCCTGTATTATATAGGAAATAAAATTAACCTAACCTAGATTTGATGAATATTTTCTACATATTATAAAAAAGAGAAGGCAATACAAAACTATTCCCTACAATAACTACTTTGTGAATGTTATTTACTTACAAAATATTGTCTTTATGGCTATATACCGCTTTTACAGAAAACTTTAATTAACAGTTGAGAACTATGCTTACATGAATAATGTATTCCACATTCAAATCAATGGTTTGTATTGTAGCACTTTTCCATTCAACAAGTGAAAATACTGCTTTTGAAAACAATCTGTGTACTACATTATCCAAATTAGTTTCATTCATATATGAATATATTTTAAAGATTGCATACATTTAGGATGATCAATTCATACAATCTTTGAAATAAAACAAAAAAATTGAAAGAGGCCTTAATATAATGCTCGAATTTAAGGGTTAGTTGCCTGAGTTAAGAAAAACAATTATATTTTTTAATGAAATTTTATTTACGGTTAGCATTTATAGAAATTTGAAAGAGCTTGCAGCTTCGAAAATATAAGGTACTTACTAAAAATTCTAATTTTAATTTTACTAAAGTTTCAAGAGGAGTTGACTTGCTACAATAACTACTTAAAAAATGGCATTTTTAGAACTTAGAGGCATTTTTAGAACATTTTTTGAACTTTTAGAAGAAGGTAGATATGTAAAAAATTTGTTCTACGAAAAAGTCTGTAGTAAAGATCTATGTGCTTATGAATATTTCAGCTTTCTATCTTCAAGGGTGTAGAAGTTTTGTAAGCATGTCCACAGATGGATGGACGGACGGACGGACGGAAAGAGTGGAACTAATAAGCTGTTTTTTTTCAATTTTTTTTTGGAAAAGTGCTAAAAACATACTTTATTTGGTGTTATATACATATTTCTAACTTTGTGAAAAAAGTAATGTTGTTCAAATGCGAAAAAATACTCCTTTTGGAAAACTTGATATATACATTTCGTACTTACCATGTTTTCAAAAATTATCAAGGATTAAGATCTGTCTAACAGTGCTTTAGAAATGTCATATACCAGGAATTATCATAATGTTTAAAATCAATTAACAAAATAACGGATAAAACAGAAAATCATTTTGGGTACATAGCAATTCTCTGGGTTATCCGCAAAGTATAATTTTTGAGAATCTAGTTGCAGCCGATACCAAATTTACATGTGATGTTTTCACTAATTTTGTTAAGTCAGTGGATTTTGATTGGAAAATATTGTGGATTTTGGTACAATTGTGAATATCACAGGAAGAAATCCAAAATAGAATAAATATCCTTAGAATGTAGTTGTAGTGATAAACTTTGTAACCAGCCTGTATATTCTCTATTTCATTTTTGTTGCAAATCTCTTCCCTATGGTACCTTTCTATTAGAAAGATACTTCCTATTTTCTACTATTTACGAATATTTTTGAATCGGCTTCGTAATTAGAATAAATTATCAAGCTCTGTCGATATTTCTCTCTGAGTTTTCTGTCACGCCAAAATTATTTGTGGCTATTGTAAAAGATAAAACACATTTTGCTATTACTGAACACATATGACCATACACAAAATGGTTTTGTTAATGGAAGGCCAACTATAACTAACTTGATTATTTTTAATCATTACGTTACAAGCGGTCTAGAAAAGGAGCTTCAAATTGGTGTTATAAAGACTTTTGGAAGAATTTTGGAATAAGTCATGGTCTTTTTGTTCAAAACTTGGGGTTTTATTCTTTGTTTCTGGTTTGACAATCTTACTTTTTGTTGGGAAGAAAATAAGCTGTAAAATATATGATATTTTTTTATATAGATTTTCATATTTCATATATACATATATCATAGTCACCTTGGATACAGACCTTAAATTTGTATTATTTACATTATTTACCAGTAATCTTCCTGATATTTTTATGTCTAGATGTCTTTATAGCACTGGCGTAAAATTAATTATTTTAAATTGAATGTCGACAAATCTAAGTCAATGTCAATACGTCGTAGTTTACACCCTATTCTGTTCAGCCTATTTAATCCCTATTGAAAATTTTTCCTTAGGTATTGTTAATGAGTTAAAGGACCTAGAAGTTATTTGTGATAAGAATTTGTCATATAATAAACATGCTGGTGTAGATAATAAAGAATGCTGGAGTGGATACCTCATTATACAAAATATAGTAATAGAATTGAGTCGGTTCAATAAAAATTTTATGTAGATTTGCCTCGCGTTGATTTGATTGGAGATCCGCTGTTTCTTCTTACGAAGATAAATCTCCACGTTAATGGATTTGGAAACTCTTGGTCTTAGAAGAAAGTCCGCAAGTGTAAGTTCTTCTTTGATCATTTAAAAAATTATCATTCTATTTTGATTTACAATGATCGATTTTCAATGATTATAGATCGATTTTAGATTTTAATTATTCAAGAATTCCATCAGAGTTGCCAAATTTTTTTTGAAGATTTAGTTTAGCTAAGTATAATTTGTTAGTATATTTGTAATTGGTAAAACTCAATTCGTATTTTCAAAAACAACGAAAAAATTAAAATAATTCATTCACCATGTGAAATTTTATTTAAAACTATCAAAAAGTTAATAACTAATATCATCAGTACGTATTTAAATTCCTAAATTTCCAGCTGCGCCGAGAGCAAGTGAGACTACACCATCTGCTGCACCAGCAACACCTCCTGCAACATCAATAACATTATTAACTGCACCGTCAACTGCATCAAGTACAGGGGGTACTGCGTTAACAACGCCTTCAACTACACCATCTACGGCGTCAAGTACTGGTGGTACTGCGGCTACAACATTATCGACTAATCCTTCAGCTACATCGATTACTGGTGGGACAGCATTAAGAAGACCACCAGCTAATCCTCCAAGTAAACCACCGGCTACTGGATATGCAGCAATAACGGCAAAAGCGATGAAGAATAAAATATTCTAAGAAATAAAAATTCAAAATAAAATACCAAAGCTCCAAGTAATTTTAACATTTTTCTGGATTACTTACAATTTTACTGAACATTTTGATTAGAAATGATTTGTTATTTTATTTTAAGTGTTTATTCAATTTGGAAAAATCTCTCGGAATGTGAAGAGAACTTGTTACAAGCGAACTTTATATAGTCGAACAGGATCTGAAAGAATCATTTAGAAGCAGTTGCGTAAATACAAAATAGTATAAAAATATGTTTTTAATTTGCAAATAAAAATAATCTGAGGAAATATATTTAAAATCATATAATCAGACAAAAGTAAATAGGTCTATTTACTTATGCTTCTTATTTTAAATTAAACTAGTAAATAAATATTTGTTAATTAGGTTTTGTAAAAGAATTAATTGTTAGTTATTCATCTTTCAATCCAAGTTATTGTTGCTTAAGCAAGTTGTAATAATAGGCAATCTGAAATAGTATTGGCAAATAAGAGTTAATATACTTTATCCAAATTTGTTTTGTGTAAAATATAATATTAACATTATTTTATTATTTATTATATTCAATGCTTAAACATAATCACAAATGGGTCATAATTTTATTGAAAATAAAAAGCCACACTTTGAGAATGGTGGGAAAATTTTCAATTTAATGAGTTTTTTTTACTTTGAATAAGGTTTGTCTGAAAATCTGGAAGAAACCGATAACGTGCTTTGGTGATAAAGCTTTCAATTCTTCAAATAATAATAACGTCGTTACAAAAATTTGCTTTGTAATGTGTAAGACAAATAATATCTAGATATGAGATTTGATACAAAAGCTAGACATTCTATCGAAAGGCTCATATTTAGTTATGATCCTGATTTTTTATGGCTCTTTTATTAGAAAGAATTAATAATTTTAATAAAGCGATCATGAAAGTTCCATATTTTCTTTGTAGACACTAAAATTAGGAACAAAAATAGGTCCTCAAGCAAATCGAATCTACTTAGAATTTAATTTGTGGATCATCTAATAAAGTTTTAAAAAAATCGTCTTAAAGGAACGCTGTATGGATTACAGAGTGAATCCTTTTAAAGATTGATTTCATATCATCAGTGTGGATTATAAAACTACTACATTTCAAAATTGAACCAACTCAATTCACCAAGATGAAAAACAGCAACCTTGTTACCAACTAAGTTGGTAACTAGAGAGTTAGCCAAAAGAGATTTATTAGAAACAAAATTAAAGAGTCCACTAAAAAAGAAGAGAAAAAAATGTTCATTTACCAATTTTTATCTTTTATCATACCATACAAGATTGAATGAAGTAAATTAATGGCTGATTTTTAATAAAAAATGATATTAGACTTCCTATTTTTGTATTTTTCTAAAAATAATGAAAACGTAAATTGAAAGGCGAATAACTAACAATTAATTCTTTTACAAAACCTAATTAACAAATATTTATTTACTAGTTTAATTTAAAATAAGAAGCATAAGTAAATAGACCTATTTACTTTTGTCTGATTATATAATTTTAAATATATTTCATCAGATTATTTTTATTTGCAAATTAAAAACATATTTTTATACTATTTTGTATTTACGCAACTGCTTCTAAATGATTTTTTCAGATCCTGGTCGACTATATAAAGTTCGTTTGTAACAAGTTCTCTTCACATTCCGAGAGATTTTTCCAAATTGAATAAACACTTAAAATAAAATAACAAATCAATTCTAATCAAAATGTTCAGTAAAATTGTAAGTAATCCCGAAAAATGTTAAAATTACTTGGAGCTTTAATATTTTATTTTGAATTTTTATTTCTTAGAATATTTTATTCTTCATCGCTTTTGCCGTTATTGCTGCATATCCAGTAGCCGGTGGTTTACTTGGAGGATTAGCTGGTGGTCTTCTTAATGCTGTTCCACCAGTAGTCGATGTAGCTGAAGGAGTAGTCAACAATGTTGTAGCCGCAGTACCACCAGTACTTGATGCCGTAGATGGTGTAGTTGAAGGTGTTGTTAACGCAGTACCCCCTGTACTTGATGCAGTTGACGGTGCAGTTAACAATGTTATTGATGTTGCAGGAGGTGTTGCTGGTGCAGCAGATGGTGTAGTCTCACTTGCTCTCGGCGCAGCTGGAAATTTAGGAATTTAAATGCGTACTGATGATATTAGTTATTAAGTTTTTGATAGTTTTAAATAAAATTTCATATTTTGAATGAAATATTAGCATATAATTTTTCCTCTCCCTATTTCGCACATGAAATGGATTGGCAAAACCATTTTGTTTGCTTATTATATAACCATTGAAGGAAAAATTAAAAAAAATTGAGTTATATTCAAATACAAGGATTTTGAAAATGGAAAAGTTTTGAACTATGTAAGGTTTTACCAAAACTCTTTTCGTTTTCATTTAGATAATGTGGTTAGTTAAAGTTCCGTATTTTCCTACCTACACCACCCCATGGTCAATCTGTCAAAGCACCCGATAATAATTTTCGAACCTCCGTATGCAATCTCAGGAAACTTTAACGTCGAGAAAAAAAAACTTATAAATTATTTAGACTCCTCAGCTATTTACAATTTTTTCCGTCAAATGAAGAGTCAAATAGCTTCTGAAAAACATTCGTGCAGATATCACAAGATTGAGTCACACAGTCAAATCTATTTTCAGCCCTTTTCCAAAAAAAAAATTTGAAAAAAATTGCTTATTAGTTTCACTCTGTCCGTTCGTCCGTCCATACGGGGTCATGTTTACAAGACAACCTTGAACATAGTAAACTTAATTTAGTAATATAATTATTTTTCTTAACTCACGCAAATAACACGTAAATTCAGGCATTATCTTATGCCTCTTTAATTTTTTTTTTATTTTATTTTAATGGTTGCATACAATGTTCGTCCTGAAAGTATGCAATCTTTGATAATATGAGTACACAGATTGTTTTTAAAAGCAGTATTTTCACTTGTTGAAAGGAAAAATTCGACCAATTCTATTCTCGTTTACAAATTGATATTTAACAAGGAATTTAGTTTTAAAGTAAAATAACTTTAAAGTTCATTTAAAATTTGCTACATTCTGGACTGTAGTAGAGTGCTCTTTTAGGTTTTCTTAAATTGATTGTAAAATTTTCATTTGTACGTATTTATTTTTAAGATATTTGTACAATATAGTTCATAAATATTTTATTTCTAATAAAATATTTGTACAATTTTTTCGTTTCAAAAGAAATTGTACACAACAATTTTTTTTTAAAACGCAAATATCAATTGTAATCCAACTTATATGCTTATATTTTTATTTTCATTATAATTTGTAAAAAAAAATTTCGTCAAAAACATTTTCATAATTAACAAAAATATTTTCTTTTATTTGAACAGTAAAATTTGTTGATATTCAATTTTGGAACATTTACTTTTCATTTAGCAAATTTTATCAAATAAATTTTCAAAACAATGTCTGAATTTCTAACTCCATCTTAACGTAAATTCAATACGGCTCAATTAATAAATCTTTGTCAAAGCCAACTGTATTAATAAACACCTTTACTATTTACTTACACGCAATATTGGACTAAAGAAAAAAACAATTAATATTTCTAACAAAACAATATTATTAATAGTTCTTAAAAATTTAAATAAGTGATTGGAACAGCAGTTCTTGGACTATATAACTGAGTTCCGGGATCAAAGCATATTTAATTTTTTAACATTCTCGTTAAACAGTTTCAATAAAATTTTGCGCACTACAAAACCAAATTTAGTATGACTCGTGCAAAATACTCAAACGAATTTAAAAAATTTTTTTTTTTTTTACTATAACCCAACTATTTATAAGGCTTAACTATTTAAAAGACTGAATTTTAATCGGATTAGTTAAAGAAATTCACAACGTACTAGATAAAGTGCCAAAAAACGGATGACATCGTAGCAAAATTTCTCTTTTACTTTTATTTCTTATTTGCAGTTGACAGTTGAACCAAACTTTATTGTTGTATTTATTTTTGATTTCTGCCAAAAACGTAAATGCTCTGTGATTTTAATCATGTATGTACGTTCATATGTACAAAAAGTATTTTACATCAAGTTCATCATTCGCATCAGAGAACTTTTGATTTTCTTAAATTTGATATTCCATAAAATTTAGGAAAATCTCATCTTTCTTTTGGTTTTCATGTTTGCCTCTAAGAAAATAAATTATTTAAACGAAATTCCAAGTCATAAGACATAAATGTTTCAATCACCAAAATCATTCATTTTGCAGAAATCCGGAATTAATTTTCACACCTTAATAACGACCAAAATCGAAAAACAGATCATTGGGCTATAATTTTAGTTTATATGTTTTCCTGTTCCACTCGCTCACCCACAAAATAATTTGTAATTTGGTGTACATACTTTAAATACGCTCAATAAATGACTCAATACACTTTCCTACGCTCAATAAGGTGAGTAAATACTAAATCAATTGTAAGAACAATTAACGCAATAAAATAAATTTTTTTAACTTCACAGTCTGTGTGTTGAAACGAGATGAAATTTTGTTCAATTATAATTCGTACATTTAATTATAAGGCCTAATACACGTGGGTTGTTCAATTAGAATTGTGGTGCAATTCAAAGATGAAAAATACGTAAATTTTAATTGTTTCAATTTTTGGTTCAATAAAAATCGTCTTTGTTTGATCTTAATAGATTTTGTTGAAAATTAAAATTTATGTTTCTTTACCAATACGAAAAATGTCCTTTATAATTTTATTTGAACTCAATTTTTTATTTTATTAAAATATTGTTTGTGATATTTTAAAATATTATTCTTAATTTTCAATAATATTTTGAATTATTACATAATGGCTGTTAACTTTTTAATAAAAACAATAATACTAATTTTACATTCTACCTGCTCCTAATTTTCAAAAAAAAAAGTAAAATTGGAAAAATTTAAATTTTAAAATTATTTCAATTGCCATACTTTTAGGAGATCCTAAATATTTTAAACTTGTATGTTATAAAAAAAA